ATGAGATATAGCAAAACACCAATGCATTAACTTATGGAATAGCCACTCGATCGATTCGATTTGTGAAGTTATGGAATGTTGTATATAAGAAATTCTTCGTGTAATGACGCATGAAGCGAGCGCACCTGGAGTCAATACTATATATGATTCCTAATTTTGTTTTGTCAATGTTTTGTTTGTCTTATTTCGGTAGAGTTTTTATTAATCGTGAATATTGACTTCACCTAATGCAATGCACATATATTGCTAGTTCGGTTAAAAGATGAAACCCGGTCAGGGAGACAATTAGGGAACTCGAACACGTAACCGAGGATTGAGAAGGTTGTTCCTACTTGTTGTAGAACGATTACGTCAACAGATCGTCTAAATTCGCTCCCTTCCCTCCCTTAGAAGATGAGGCATGTCGAGAAGATGTAGAAGCCCATCGTCTAGATCCGCTCCCTTCCCTCCCTCGGAAGATGAGGTGCGTCGAGAAGATGTAGAAGCCCGTATCCCTTCCCAATCAATCACACCACAGGAGACAATGAACACAAGGTATAAGGGTGGAGCTCTCTCTTTATTACTCCCTCTATCCCAGAATATAAGAAGTTTTATGGTTGGACATGTTTATTAAGAAAGTAGGTAGAAGTGAATGATGGAGGGTTGTGATTGGCTGAGTAGTGGAGGTAGGTGGGAAAAGTGAATGGTGGAGGGTTGTGATTTGTTGGGAAGAGAATGTTGGTGGAGAAGTTATTATATTTCGGGACAAATCCTGAGGGTTAAAAGTTATTATATTTTAGGACGGGGGAGTATCAATCATTGTGTGTACAATAATAGGCACCCAGTACCTCTATTTTTAAGTAGAGGAAGTTTTAGAGATCAGAACGGTTTTATCTCTAAAATCGATTCGGATTGGTCTACAAGTTAGAATTTTATCTCTATAGAGATAATATTTGTAATGCCTACTCCCTCTCTCTAGGGCTATCAACGAGCCGAGCTCGAGCGAGCTTGCCTGCCTAGGCTCGAGCTACCTAGGCTCGAGCTCAATACAAACTCGAGCCGAGCCTATAAAATGTTCGAGCTTTCAAACATGCTCGATTCGAGCTCGATCAAGCTTGACTACCGAGCTTAATTTTTAAGTAAAATAATATATACTTCTGAACCAATGTTCCCTTGCGGGTCTGCATGAATGAGTTCAAGAACTGATCCCGGGCTTGCTGCAACATTGCTTCAAAATCCTTCTTCTGCTCAGGTGTGAATTTCTCCGGATCGATGGGCACGACGTTTCCTTCATTGACGTCAGTCAACCCCAACTTTTGAATCTTTTATTTAACAGTGCTTGGGCTAGCCGAGGATGGCGACAACGGTGGCTTCTCGGCCATGAGGAAGAATTGCTTGTTGACTTCTAATCAGTCCCACCAGTGTAGGATCGAGATGTCGACTAGAGGGGGGGTGAATAGGCGATTTAAAACTAAATAACACCTAATCAAATCTAACCTAAGTTGCTAGGCTTGGTAAGGGTGAACTCTAACTAAGCAACTAAGTTATGTTTTGCAAACCTAGGGTGATAGTGGCTCAATTATATCTCTAGGAAAGTAAATCACGCTCCTATGTCAATGTTTTGCAATCCTAGGGTGATATGATCTCAAGTGTGTCTCTAGAAATGTAAATTGCACAAATGTAAATGCGACAATCAAATGAGACAATGAGACAAGAGATTTTTCACCGAGGTTCGGAAACTCGCCGGTTTCCTACTCCCCGTTGAGGCGAGCCCAACTCCACCGCTCAACCACGAAGCCACCGCACGCCCCCTTCGTCAAGGGGTGGGCAAGGCGGGAGCCGACCCACGGAGAGGACTACCCAAGCCTCGATCACTCGTGGTAGTTCTTCCTTCACTCCGAAGGTGGTGAACTCCAAACCACTCACAAACCGGCGCCGGGCCTCCTCCACAATCTTCTCGGGGAGGTCACTGGGCAACTCCTCCACAGGCCGTCTAGGAGGCGGCAACCTCCAAGAGTAACAAGCAATGACCCGGTGTGGAGACGATCAAGTGCCACACTAGCTCTACAATGGAAGCAAATGCACTTGACTCTTGGCTAAACAACCCTCTAACACACTAGATGGATGAACACAAAGCTCAAGTGAGTGTGAGAGAGGTGCAAGGGGTGTATGCAATTGAATTGGGTGCCAAGAGAGCCCCCTTGCTGCTGGTGGGGGAGTATTTATACTCCCACCACCAAAACTAGCCGTTGGGGGCGAAATCCCCCAACTCTGTGCTCTGCCGGTCTAACCGGAGGTATGTGGCCGGTCAGACCGTGCTACTCTGCAACGGCTAGAAAACTAGCCGTTGTAGCCCTATCAGAGGGCCCCACCGGCCTCGCCGGTTAGACCGGCATGGGGTGGCCGGTCAGACCGGCCTCGGCTCGGTCTGACCGAATACGGCTCCGTCGGCTCTGTATCGGCCATCCCGAGCAGCACCATCCCGGCCTCCAGGGGGCCGGTCTGACCGCGCAAATGCCGCCGGTCAGACCGGCCTTATGCTCCGGTCAGACCGCCTTCTTGCGGCCGGTCAGACCGGCCAGGGTACGCCGGTCAGACCGCCACTATGTGGTCGGTCTGACCGCCCCTGGTCAGGCCGAACCCAGTGAATTTGCAAGTGAATATGTGTGTGATGAAAAAGAGAGCACAAATGAAAATGCAATGACCTAATGTGGCAATTGTAATCATCTCTTTGCTAGGTCATTACCCCTCTTAATAGTACGGCGAAACTAAAAATAAACTAGCAAATTTGATCGCCCTACACCTCGATCAATTCTAAATTAAAGCGCTAGTTTTACCGTCTTCTTTCCCTTTGCTTTGCGCCGTCAATTTTAATCCATCGATAATCATCCATGCGCACATATGATGTGGACCTAACTTAAAATGTATAGCTCAAAGACAACGGTTAGTCCACAATTAGCGCTTGTCATTAATTACCAAAATTAACACCGGGGGTCTAGATGCTTCAACCAGGCGTGCCAAAAGCGTGTTGATAGAAAACACGAGGCCTGGGAAATCTGCTTAACTTCAGTACAGGTCCAAAGCTCGCCTTCGAATGTATGAGTGTGCCAGTTGATTTGATCCTATAATCAACAAGAAATAGAGACAAAGAATTCGTGGTCAAATCTATAAATGATAGCCGATCGACTAGGTGCCGATGAGATATCATTTATCTTTGAGCCGATGTCATATATGAATCGATCGACGGTTATAAATAGATAGTAAGGAACTAAATCTATGCGATCGGCTGTAGATATTAACGATATATAGTTCTTATATTAATATATACTTAAATCAAGTGATTGGGATAGATCGGTCACCATGCCGAGACAGTATAAATCACTTAGATCGAAATATATATTAATAACATGATTATATATGTTTATAGCATAGCCGATCAGATAGATCTAGCATGTATCAGCTAATACTCCGATACTACTTTATATAAAGATATCAAAACAAATATAATATACCAAACAAAAGCTTAATATACTTAAATGCAATAAGATCTTGACATAAAGGGCGGATTTAACATGTCTTTGAAGCATATAGATCGAATATAGTTAAATCAGATAAGATCGGCTGAAACTCCGATACTACCCTAATCGGCAACCAGAGTACAGGCTAGAGATTGATATTCTAAGCACGACTTAATAGATCAAACTCAACTGATGTAGCATTAAGTATGAAAAGAAGAACAATATCTAGACAATCAAGCCGCTAGGTGTTTCATAAAGTGGTAGATATCTTATATAATCTAAGACAACGTCGCTATTTAACCTAATCGGCTGCCTTCTATTAACGGATGTTAGCCGATTGTAGGTTAGATGACGATATTGCCAAAGATTATATAAGATATATGATAACTTGACGAATTATGTAGACAAGATTAGAGTGTCATAAAGATGGAAGCACTAATCCCGAGAACACAAGCCGTCATAACAAGTTTTACCTCTTGTTGAAGATCGAAACCGATGCAGCTCAAACCGAAAGCAAGAACTCGTCGAAACAAAACTAAAGCAAAAAGTTGGAGATGCGCCGAGATTGTATTGAACGTGTGTGTTAAAAATTACATATGGCTCGGGGTCTATTTATACCCGAGAATTACAAGATATGTCCATACCGGACACGACCACTATCTCTAACAAACTCTAAGATACCATAAGTCTTTGCGGCAGACTTTTGCCCAAACATATCTCTAAGGAAGTTACATAAAAACATCCTAATTAATAGATACAATTGCCATCTCAGGACTCTATCCATGTGCGGCAATCATCTTGAAGCACCTCAATTCAACCCAATGTCATACACCAAATTATACTGTCAGAATCGGTTGCATCGGCTCACCTAGTCCGACTCAGACCCAGCCGATCCTAATCGTAGCCGATCTGGACTTCAGCCGATTCTTGCTCTGTTCTCGGATTAATCTCCACCTTCGACTCCACCTTGATCTAATCTCCTTTTCCGATGCTGATATTACCAAATTTGGTCGTTAACACATACTTGATCTCCTAATTTATGAAATAACAACAAAAATTCATAGCTTGATAGAAACTCGAGCTCGGCTCGATAAAGCTCGCGAGCTTTGGGGGAGGCTCGGGCTCGGCTCATCTGAAGCTCGAGCAGCTCGCGAGCCTCGAGATTTTTTGATAGCCTACCTCTCTCCCTAAAATAAACTCAAACCTTAACGTCCCAAGGAGTTTTTAAGGAGAGAAACAAAAGACCATAATGCCCTTAATTAATGTGAATATTGTATTGAATGATGTGTAGGTGAGGGGTATTGAAGTAATAAAATTTATCGTTTTGTGGATTGATGGTTGGTAAAAAAATATAAGTTGGTTTATTTTTGACATAAATTTAAACTCTATAAGTTTATTTATTTTGGGACGGAGGGAGTATATACTCCTTCCAGTCCCTTTTATTCCGTGCAGAAAAATCAAAAGCTCAAAATTGACCTGCGAATAAGTAGTAGTAAAAGACTTGACCGGAGTCCACTGTCAACCAAGAAAAAGACGCCGCTTGACAGCAAGACACCCACTCACTCAAAGCCGGCTACAGCCTACGAGTTCCCACTTCTCCTGTCTCCACGGCCCACACACGCATCCCTGTCTCCCTCTTCCCGCCTTTTTCTCAGTCATGGCCGCCACCACCACCAACGGCGTGCCCTCCCGGCGGCGGCGGCGGCCGCACGTCCTCGTCCTCCCCTTGCCGTCGCGGGGCCACCTCCTGCCGCTCCTCGACTTCGCCCACCGCCTCTCCACCCGCCACGGCGTCGCCCTCACCGTCGCCGTCACGGCCTCCGACCTCCCCCTCCTCTCCGCCTTCCTCGCATCCACCCCCCTCGCCGCCGCCCTCCCGTTCCATCTCCCCGACGCCTCCCTCCCGGAGAACTCCAACCACGCGCTCCTCGCCGTCCATCTCTCCGGCATCCGCGCGCCGCTCCTCTCCTGGGCGCGGTCTCGCCCGGACGATCCCCCCACCGTCGTCGTCTCCGACTTCTTCCTCGGGTGGGCGCAGCTCCTCGCCGACGACCTCGGCGTCCCGCGGGTCGTGTTCTACGCCAGCGGCGCGTTCGCCGTCGCCGCGCTCGAGCAGCTCTGGAATGGCGCGCTGCCGCTGGACCCCAAGATTTCGGTCGTCCTCGACACGCTCCCCGGGTCGCCGGCTTTCCCGTACGAGCACGTGCCGTCGGTGGTGAGGAGCTACGTCGCGGGCGATCCGGATTGGGAGGTCGCGCTTGAAGGCTTCCGCCTCAACGCCAGAGCTTGGGGCGCCGTGGTGAATTCGTTCGACGAGATGGAGCGCGAGTTCTTGGAGTGGCTCAAACGGTTCTTCGGCCATGGCCGCGTGTGGGCGGTCGGCCCGGTCGCCGACTCCGGCTGCCGGGGAGAGGAGAGATTGCCGGAAGCAGAGCAGCTGTTCTCCTGGCTCGATACGTGTCCCGCGCGTTCGGTGGTGTATGTCTGCTTCGGGAGCATGTACAAGCCGCCGCCGGCCCAGGCGGCGGCGCTGGGCGCCGCGCTGGAGGCGAGCGGCGCGCGGTTCGTCTGGGCGGTGGGCGCCGACGCCGCCGTGCTGCCGGAGGGGCTGGAGGAGAGGACGGCCGCGCGTGGCCGCGTCGTGCGCGGCTGGGCGCCGCAGGTGGAGATCCTCCGGCACGCCGCCGTGGGCGCGTTCCTGACGCACTGCGGCTGGAACTCGACGCTCGAGGGCGTCGCCGCCGGGGTGCCGCTCCTCGCCTGGCCGATGAAGGCCGACCAGTTCATCGACGCGCGGCTCGTGGTCGACCTGCGCGGCGCCGCGGTGCGCGTCGCGGAGGGCGCGGCCGCCGTGCCCGACGCGGCGACGCTGGCGCGCGCGCTCGCGGACGCCGTGGACGGGGCGAAGTGCGGCGACGTGAGGGCCAAGGCCGCCGCGCTCGCCGCGGCCGCCGCGGCGGCGGTGGAGGAAGGTGGCAGCTCGCGCGTCGCCTTCGAGAGCATGGCGAAGGAGCTGGAAACTGCGTGCATGTCTCCTTCGTTCGGTTGATCGGTGAGGTCACGCGACACGGCGGCGTTCTTGACTCATTTGTTGTTGTTGTCACATGCGTAGCAGTATGGCACGGCAGAGTGTACCTCCAATTAACTTGAGGGGGTCGTTTTGTGCTGTAATTTATCTCAGAGACATTTAGCTGAAGGCGATCAACTGATCATGCAACACTCTTAGCCATCATACAGGGGCTGTAATGAATTTTACCAAAAAAAACCAAAATTTTCCATATTATTTACTCCCTTCGTTCCATAGTGTTGTAAGGATGTGTCATATTCATTACTCCCTCCATCCCATAATATAATAGATTTTAGAGGAACGTAACTTATCATATTACTACGAATTTGGACAGGATCACATCCCTCCAAAATCCCTTATATTATAGAACGGACCCTTATATTATAGAACGGATGGAGTACTAGATTATTATATTTTAGGACGGAGATAGCACATGATCTGCTTACAATCCATTTACAAAGACTCCTGTTGTGATTGGTCTATTTACAAGTTCACTAGTATATAAGAAAAATACAAGTTCTGAAGTTATTGCTGGTTTTTTAAAGTTTTCAGACGAAGCGCTAGAGCATTAGGGCATCCACAATATTACATGCAAAACAACCTTAAAGAATAAAGTAGTATTTTTGTTCCACCTTTATGCATTGGGAGAGGAGAAAGTGAAAAAAATGGCTATGGCCAACCTTAAGCTTAAGGCTAGACCATAAGAAATAAAAAATTAGTTCATACCTTTTGCACCATGCATGTGCTCTTTCATTCATGTTGAATATAATTTTTTAATGAATGGGTCCCAGTTTAAGATTAAGAAAAAGCTATACACATTGTAGCATATACTATATACAAATGAACATACAAATGATGTGGATTCCATCTTATAGCCATAGTGACCTTAAATATTGAGGATGCCTTATTGCATTATTGCCATATGCTGACCGACCTGCTCTTATGCGCCGCGGCTCGTGGTGACCTGCTCTTGATTGTACCCGTACTGCAAATGGTGAAGACAGAGCTCAATTTTCCTGCTCACTTGCCGCAAAGACATGTAGATCAGTGTGCCCAATTTTTTTTAAGTTATATGGCCACACATTTAAAGTATTAAATATAGACTAATAACAAAATAAATTACAGATTTTGCCTGTAAACTGCGAGACGAATTTATTAAGCCTAATTAATCCATTATTAGTAAATGTTTACTGTAGCATCACATTGTTAAATCATGGCGTAATTAGGCTTAAAAAGATTTGTCTCGTGATTTACATGTAAATTGTGCAATTGATTTTTTCGTCCATATTTAATGCTCTATGCACGTGTCCAAATATTTTATGTAACGAAAAGGTTGAAAATTTTTGTAGAAAAAATTTTGAATAACACGGCCCAATTTTACTAACCTTTGCGACGACTTTGACGACGACCCGAGACCATGCACCGAACCACCGTGTACGGCAAGCCTCTGACTAGCAATCAGCCTATATCTTCTACTACCGCCATTTACTTTTACATAGCGTTTGATTGTTTTCGATTTTTACCAATCGAACTATATGGAAATGGTTACTGATGAAAACGAAAATAAAAATAGTAAAACTATAAAAGTAGAAATGGAAACAATGTAGTACTGCATAACGACCGTTTTGGCCCGTTCATTCGACGTGATTTCGTCTCCGGCAGTTCGCTTCTGACACGTCACATCAGTTGGGCTTAGAGCCTAGATAATCAAGAGCACTCATCTTCATTGATAAGTCTATTTTCCTCCCTCCAAAAATGTCTCTAGTTGAATGGCATCCCTCAACCGCAAAACCGGGTATAACCTGTCCCCCAACTTTGAAAACCGTTCCAAATCGACTCCCTGGGTGATTTTGTCCCACATGGCATCTTGGACCCTACTAACTGGCTGAATCAGATTGTAAGACATGTCAGTGTCAAGCGTAGAAATGAAAAACGTTGAGGCTCACTGTCAGCCACGCTTCTCCTCTTCTTCTCTAGGCCATTATCTCAATCCTCTGGCCGACCGGCTCGCCGGTCACCTCCCGCACCCCGCCGTTAGCAGTTGAGCTTGCGCCCCACTCCCGATCGCTCCACTGCCTCATCCCCGCCCCCATCCCTACCCCTACCGCCTCCGAAACCGCTCCAGAAGTCGATTTGTTACGGTTTTGGGAGTTGAGAGATGTGTTATACACAATTTTGCTATTAATGGATGCGATTCAACCAGGGACATAAGTCGAAGGAAGCAAAATAGACTTATTCCCATCTTTTAATCTTTCCTCCTTGAGAAGCATCCGGCCCGCACGCTAGCTGCTAAAATGCGAGCCCACAAATGGCGTGGCGAATTGGCGATCCCGCGGCCTGTATTATGTGGCCATGTGGGGCGCATACGACCTCACGAGTTTCGTCCCACGAAAGTGCCACAGCCGCGTGAGCTGAATATGTTCACCTAACGTCTCTCAATTGTACGCCTAGTCTGTTTAAGATCCCCTAAATGCAATGCCAGAAATGTGTACCTTTGAACTATGTAAAACTGTTCAAAGAAGGTCCCAAGGCAGCATAGATGTCTGGTTTCGCTGGTGTGGCATCTAGTCAGTAAAAAAATAAAAAATAAAAATGTGAAGCCTACATGTAAGTGAGAATAAAAAAATATAGGACCCACGTGTCAGCATCATCTTCTTCCTTTCTCTTTTCTTTTTTCTCTTCTTATCTTTCGTTCTTCCTGCGGAGAGGGAGCGGCAACGGGCGCCCAGAGCAGGCAAAGCGATGACGTCGGCGGGCGAGTGTGGCTGCGGAACAGCGGCGGCGGCGGCAGGCGAGCGCGGTTGCGGATGAAGAAGAGCTGGAAGGAGGCGATGGCGAGCACCACCACGGCGTTCGCACACGACGAGTGGTCCGACGATGTGTGCCAGCGTATGTGCGTGCTCGCCACGATCCCCAGCGCCACCCGCTTCACCGACTCCATGAACGTGAAGTAGATCCGTGTTGACGGTCCTTAAATCATAATATCTGACCGTCAATACCTGCATATAATGAAATAAAACATGGTATCCAAATTAGTGGTAAGTATTATTACTAATCATTTTCACTAGTGTTGGTGAAATATGTGTATGCAGGTATTTTAAGAAGAAAACACATCCGTCAAGCAACAAACTGCACCTCCGCGTATTCAGGACATATTTACACGGATTGGAGGCCCCATAAGTCAAGTAAACAACTCCAAATGGGCCCAACTATCATGCCAATGGGTTGAGGGCCTCAAAATTAGTGTCCACGATGAAAAACGGGCCGAACGGAGCCGTCCTGGGTTCCGCCCGAACACTTTTTGTAGCCGTTGATCGTGAGATTCAACGTGGACGGCCCTGATCTCTTCCTGATGACGGTTGGAGGGTAGTTTGGTCGTTTCCCATACATGTAACCGTCATATGGAGGCTATAAATAGAGCTCCTCTCATTCATTCACAACACACAACTTTGAGCTGAATTATAAGAGGCTCTATTGTATCTTTTGTACATGAGAATAAGGTAGAGAGTGAGGGGAAGCTCTGGAGGAGTGCCCGGAAGTTTGGCGCTCATCCGACTTCTACCTCGACGAGTGTAGCTTCCTAGGAGGAATTCTGGAGGAGTACCGGAGCTGTCGGTACACTCTGCTCCTGATTCGGAGAACTTCTTCTATAAAGTAAGCATTCGTGTTCCTTTGTTATGTTATTTAATTATTTTGTCTGAGTAAGATAGATTTCCATCTTTGCAGGTTCATTGTTTAGTATTTATACTAAGTGCACTAGTACTAGGACTCCGGATAGAGAAGGAAGTTCCTGCTCGAGTATTAGAGTAGTAATTAATAACTTAGACGTGGTGTCTAGGTTAGATATTACCTTTGTTTGTTGTGTATCCCACGGATTTGTCAGAGGTAGGCGGTAGGTGGTGACAGCCCTGAATCCCGTCCAAGTAATCCTCCACGTTCGGATACATCATAGAGCTATAGCCAGAACCACGCTGACAGACTAGCAGGGGTCGGTGCCCAAAGCAACAGATAGGGAATTACCTTTAACTTAGCTTAGATAATTAAAACCCTTAGAAAGACCTTTCTAGCCTAGCCTACCTATCTTTAGTTGTTCTCCTCGGATTGTCTTAGCATTAGGTAGATTACACATGTTCCCTGAGTTTGATATCCTTTTGGGGTCACCCGAAGGTGAAGTGCTACAGCGGTATTCTGTGCGCTTGCGGATTTATCTGTGGTCGTAAGAAATACCAACAAGTATTTCTGGCGCCGTTGCCGGGGAACGGTTGTTAATTTATCCGAGTCTAGGTCATCCTCGTATCTTTATGTATATTTCTTCTTCTTTGATTCCTTTCCTTGATGGAGCAACCCACAATTCAAAACATTTCTGCTCCTCGGGCTGATCTTTGTGAGCCATCCTGTTCTTCAAAACCAATCCTTTCGGATGGCTACGAAATCAGTCCTGGCTTTATAGCCATGGTTCGAGAGAAAACCTTCTCTGGTAGTATCGGTGAACGCCCATACCTCCATCTTCGGGACTTTGAGCTAGTGTCTTCGTGCCTATCCATCGTAGGCATGACACATGAAACTCTAAAGTGGAAATTGTTTCTTTCTCTTAGAGAAGAAGCGAAACAATGGTACACTCTGTCTGTCAAGAAAGTAAGGCAGAAATTGCACTTAAGCTCCTCCCATTCACCGTGGAATTTCTTGACAGACAGAGTGTACCATTTATGGTATTGAAATACTTTCCGAGTATGTTAGTACCTACTTTACATTATGTTCATGTTATACTGAATATACTGCTAGCTTATCTGGGAGATGCTTTGGTGCGGGTATAGTGTTTGCTTATGCAATTACTCTATGTCATGATGATAATATTAGAGTAGTATCTGGTAGTTTAGACGTGGTGTCTAGGTTACGGGATATCATTATTTGGGGTTATATATTGCAGATGAGAGGTGTGCCGCTGATGGTGACAGCTCAGTACGGGTATTCCTCCGCGCCTATATATAATCCTAAGTTAATTTCCTGAGGAGGGTATTCCTCCGTATTTAGCCCTGGTTGGATGGTCATGACGGGCTGTCGTAAGGAACTCAGCAGTCAGGGGTGGCTTCTCGAAGTACCAGGAGGGCATCGGATAGAGGGTATTAGCTAGTATACCAGTTAACTAGAATGTATGTATACTATGTATATTAGAAGTATAGGAATAGATTCTCTTTCTCTTTTCTTTCCACCTAGCTTAGATTAATTATTACGGATAGAGGGTATTAGCTAGTATACCAGTTAACTAGAATGTATGTATACTATGTATATTAGAAGTATAGGAATAGATTCTCTTTCTCTTTTCTTTCTACCTAGCTTAGATTAATTATTACGAGGATGAGTAGTAATGCTTGTGTGTCACTGTACCCTTGGATTATCTTAACCCCTGCTTAGAATATGATTATCACAAGTAATATATAAGTTATTAGTTGAGTTCTCTCTACATGATCTTCCCACGGGATAAAATAAATACGATACTCTTGGAATACTCTCGGGTGAAATGCTACTATGGTGTATCCGTGCGCTTGCGGATGAACTCTATAACCATAATATACCAGAAGTATTTCTGCGTCATTGCTGGAAATTATATTTCTAGTAATGTCGTTAAGAAATACCAATAATAATTCATCTCAAAGTTGTGTGTTGTGAATGAATGAGATGAGCTCTATTTATAGCCTCCATATGACGGTTACAGGTATAGGAAACGACCAAACTACCCTCCAACCGTCATCGGGAAGAGATCAGGGCCGTCCATGTCGAATCTCACGATCAACGGCTACAAAAAGTATTCGGCCGAATTGGAGGTTCGGCCGAACCCGGGACGGCTCCGTTCGGCCCGTTTTTTTGTCGTGGACACTAATTTTGAGGCCCTCAGCCCATTGGCATGATAGTTGGGCCCATTTAGAGTTGTTTACTTGATTTATAGGGCCTTCAATCTGTGTAAATGTATCCTGAATGCGCGGAGGTGCAGTTTGTTGCTTGACGGATGTGTTTTTTTCTTAAAACACCTGCATACACATATTTCACCATCACTAGTGGAAATGATTAGTAATAATACCTACCACTAAGTCGGATATCATGTTTTATTTTATTATATGCAGATATTGACAGTCAGATATTATATTATGATTTAAGAATCGTCAACAATCCGTAGTATGCCGAGCAACTTCTGCAGGAACGGCGCCTCGGCGTCCTCATTCTCGTCGTCGGACACGATGATCCGCTACGAGGCCGCTGCCTGCGATCTGCGAGAGCATGTACTTGGGCGAGACACGCAGGTCATCGAAGAGCGGACTGAGCTTGACGAGCCAGGCAGGGCGGGCGGGGTCCTTCCACGTCCACTGAGCACGCTTGCCGGGGCCGAGCGTCCGGCGAACAATCTCCTGGTGCACCTCCTTGTAGTGCAGCAGCCTCCCCGTAGTGACGCCCAGCGACAGGAACAGCAGCAGAGCAACCAGGAACGCCGTGAGCACGATCCCACCGGCCAGCCCGGTGCCAGCCCGGTCGTAGTGCCGCCTCGGATGAGCACCGCCGACGCCTGGGAGACGCAGGGCATGGCGAGGATGACGAGCATAAGCTCCAGCCTGAGGAACACGAGCGCGCCGTAATTGCGTCCCTGTGTGTGCCTGTGGCACAGCTTGAGGTAGAAGGAAAAAAAAAGAAAAGAGAAAGAAAGAAGATAATGCTGACGCGTGGGCTTCATATTTTTTTCTTCTCACTTGCATGTGGGCCACACTTTTTATTTTTTTATTTTTTGTTGACTATAATGTCATATCAACGAAACCAGACATCTATACTATTTTGGGATTTTTTTGAACGGTTTTACATATCTTAGAGATACACATTTTTTGTTATTGTGGTTAGAGACCTCAGAAAGACTCGGCGTACAATTGAGGGACATCCGGTGAACTTATTCCGTGAGCTCTCGTGGTCCCCCAAGCTGCCCGCGAGCCCCCCGAAATCGAGATATTTAGGTGGTGTTTGGGAAGGAGGGACACAAAAGCATAAGTCCCTGTGGGAGGGACTACAATTTTATGAGGGACTAAATTTTAGTCCCTTCTTCCTAAACACCCTCTTAACCATTTGCCACATTTAGATGTGGCAATTAACTTTTTGCCACTGAACCCACATGTCATAGATACATGTGGACCCACATGTCATTAAGATAGGGGTGGCAAATAGTTATTTGCCAAGTCTGTGTTTAGTTTTTTTAAAAGTTGAAAGTTTGGGTTGAAATTGGTACGATGTAACTGAAAAGTTGTGTGTATGACAGGTTAATGTGATGAAAAAAGTTAAAAATTTAGATCTAAAGTTTAGATATAAACACAGCCCAAATCTAAAAATGGCGAATAGTTAAAAGCCCCGCCGAAATCCCTGCGAGCGTCGGGGCCCAGCCGAGTCGCCGTGTAATTTGACTTCACGAGCCTAGCACGCCCAGTGGCGGTCCGCATCCGGGTCGGTGGCGAGCACAAGCTGTTCATACTACTACCATTTCAACAACTAATTAAGTATAAAGTCTTCTAATAAAATGCTTCCACTGTCATATTATAAATATAGTCATGAGGTTACACGTTCAATTTTAATCATTCATTTTATTTTAATTATTTTTTAAAAAATAAAAAATATAAGTAACGTATAAAGTAGTATTCATGTTTGTTATCTAATAATAATAAAAATAAAAAAAATTAAATAATACAAATGATTAAGATTAGACACGAAATCATCGTTATGTTTAAAACGAGCCGGAGGAAGTAATAATTGACTGATGTTGATTGTCATAGAGCAGCTAGAAATGCTACTGCTCGACAGCCTATCACCACTCACTCCAAGCCTCGGAGGTTCACTCATCTCCAGAGACTACTGGTCCTCGCGCGCAATCAAACTCTTCTCCGGCCGCCATGTCCACCAACGACGGCGTGCCCTCCCGGCGGCGGCCGCATGCCCTCGTCGTCCCCTTGCCGTCGCGGGGCCACCTCCTGCCGCTCCTCGACTTCGCCCACCGCCTCTCCACCCGCCACGGCGTCGCCCTCACCGTCGCCGTCACGGCCTCCGATCTCCCCCTCCTCTCCGCCTTCCTCGCATCCACCCCCCTCGCCGCCGCCCTCCCGATCCATCTCCCCGACGCCTCCCTCCACGAGAACTCACACCACGCGCTCCTCGCCGTCCATCTCTCCGGTATCAGCGCGCCGCTCCTCTCCTGGGCGCGGTCTCGCCCGGACGATGCCCCCACCGTCGTCGTCTCCGACTTCTTTCTTGGATGGGTGCAGCTCCTCGCCGACGACCTCCGTGTCCCCCTCTTCCCGGGTCCCCGTCTTTCCCGTACGAGCATGTCCCGTCGGTGGTGAGGAGCTACGTCGCCGGCGATCCGGACTGGGAGCTCGTGCGGGAAGGCTTCTTGCTCAACTCCAGAGCTTGGGGCGCCGTGGTGAATTCATTTGACGAGATCGAGGGCGAGTTCTTGGAGTACCTGAACAGGTTCTTCGGCCATGGCCGCGTGTGGTCGGTCGGCCCGGTCGCCGACTCCGGCTGCCGGGGAGAGGAGAGGTCATCGGAAGCAGAGCAGCTGTTCTCCTGGCTCGACACGTGTCCCTCGCGTTCGGTGGTCTATGTCTGCTTCGGGAGCATGTACAAGCCGCCGCCGGCCCAGGCGGCGGCGCTGGGCGCCGCGCTGGAGGCGAGCGGCGCGCGGTTCGTCTGGGAGGTGGGCGCGGACGCCGCCGTGGTGCCGGAGGGGCTGGAGGAGAGGACGGCCGCGCGTGGCCGCGTCGTGCGCGGCTGGGCGCCGCAGATGGAGATCCTCCGGCACGCCGCCGTGGGCGCGTTCCTGACGCACTGCGGCTGGAACTCGACGCTCGAGGGCGTCGCCGCCGGGGTGCCGCTCCTCGCCTGGCCGATGAAGGCCGACCAGTTCATCGACGCGCGGCTCGTGGTCGACCTGCACGGCGCCGGTGTGCGTGCCGCGGATGGCGCGGGCGCTGTGCCCTACCCGGGGGCGCTCGCGCGCGTGTTCGCCGACGCCGCGGACGCCGGGAAGCTGGCGGATGTGAGGGCCAAGACCAGCGAGCTCGCCGCGGCCGCCGCGGCGGCGGTGGAGGAAGGTGGCAGCTCGTGGATCGCGATGGAGAAGATGGCGAATGAGCTGGAAACTGCATACCTCGAGTCGGTTGATCGGTGAAAGTTCTTGTGCTCGTGCGTGCCATTAAAAATTGTTAACTGCATGGCGCGGCAAGGGTGTATCTCAAATCTCAAATTACAATAATTTATAACTAGAAGTGCGTTGTTACTGTCATTTACTCCAATCTTAGATAAATTAAACTGAAGGTGATCAACTAATCGTGCAATGGTTTTGCCATCCTACATGTGCAGAATGAATTTTGTGGATCAAACTGAAACTGCATTTGACAGTAACTGAATTTGCATCCTACTGTGTGTTGTTTCGATTAGATTCTTAGCCGAGTAATGCAGAATCGATCCTGAGTTTGTGAATGGTTTTTTTTGCAGGAGCCAGTGGGTTGTGATGTCTCTTCCATGGCGTTTGGCCGAGGCTGCTTAAAGTTCGGACTTCGAGCGGCACGGCGGCGAGATCGTCATAGACGAGTACGAGTACGACTACGAGAACCTGCTGCGCCACCGCCACACCGGCCACGAGTTGCAGAACGATGCGGACGCAGAGCAGCACGGCCGCGCGGTCAGAGATCCCGAAGGCCGAAGCTGCGGACCTGATCCTGATGCGCCAGCGCCACCGCGACACCAGCCACGAGTTGCAGAATGATGCGCTTGCCAAACACGACGTGCGAGGTTCGGAACCAGCGCCACTCGCCAAACTCGCCCGATCAAATCTACGGTCCCTGCGAAAGGATGCTTCCCTATACTACCCAACCAACTGCGAGAACGCTGAGGACTCCGAATCCATATGGGAAACTATTTCGATCCTTCGAAGGATGTCACATCGTTATTTGTATGTCACTTAAAATAGTTATGAAGAAAATTTGAGAAGATGTAACATGTAATATATTACTCCATAAACATACAAGTTCAAATTTAACTTCTACATCTCGCAACGAAAAAAAATTAAACTATAGCTAGTTAACATATATTCACAGTTAAATTTATTTTGCGAGATGTAGAAATTGAATTTTAATTTGCATTTTTGTGAAGCGATATATCACATGTTAATATATCTTCTCAATTTTTTTCGTAACTATTTTAGTGACACGCACGAGGGATTAAAATCCAATCCCGAATCCATATGGCAAGTCTTGCTCTCAAGAACTTGGGAAAAGACATGGAAGGAATCTACCCTCCACGAGGAACCTCGTGGCAGTATCTGGAGGACGTCATCTCTCTTGCGCATGCTCTGTTCCTGGAGAACACCAAGCTCCACCGGTTGACTGATCAGGCTTCGCACCAGGAGGACTTGCCGTTGCAGCCGCCGCAGCACGACGATGTCCACCTGCAGCAGGGCTTCCCATTTCAGCAGCAGCCGCAGCACGATGGCTACCTGCAGCCGGTCGTCCCGTTCCAGCAACAATTACATATTTAAAACATGATTTGTTTGTTTGAGCACAATTACATATGGCGCAATATAAACCAAGAAAATTTGACACGCCTTATTCTGCTTATATTCAGAAAGAGAGATTAACTGTGTCAAGTCGATCGGAGACGCCGACCATACCATCTGGCCGTCGATGACCTGCTCCCGATCGTTGAGGGCGAGGCCGGCGAACTCGGGGTGGCCGAACTTGACGATGGCGAAGCGGAGGGCCGGGAGGCCGGTGAGGCTGTCGACCTCGCCGACGACCCTCGGGATGGAGACTTCGTCCACCACTCCGTAACGATCGAAGTGGCGGAGGAGGTCCGCCTCGCCGGCGGTGCCCGCGGCGAGACCGCGGACGAACACCCTGCCGTCCTTCGGCGGCTTCCGTCGTCGAAAGTCCATGGCGAACTAGGGGGCTAGGGTTCTCGATCTAATACTGTTTTTTTTTAAGCTTTTGTATCCGTGTTTTTGCAGGAGTAAAAACCTGGTAGGTTCGCGCGAGGCCGTATTATACACTTCCTCCGTAAAAAAAAATATAACTACGTTATTATTATGCTTTTTTTTTTCAGTGTTTTCCCTGCATTTTTGTACTCCACGCTTCTAAAAAAAATATTTCTCAAAAGGAAACTTTCTTTGTTGCATGATTATACCACCTATTCTAAGCTATTTACGTAGTTTATTTTTTAAATATTGATTTATAGTCTTACCTGGATAAACAATCCGTGCCAATAATCGAAGGAAAAAAGAAACAGTAGTGCATTAAAAGAGTAAAATACATTGATGGTAATTAACATGTGAGTGGATGTATTGAATTTATAAACTATTTTAAAAAGTATCTTAAGACCTCTAAACTAACTAAATATACCAACACCGATCCAAAATTCAACATGACATGGCATAGGATGCTGAAATAGCACCTTCACTAACCCTACCAAAATTGTACACTTTTAATAATTTGGGTTAATTTGATTCATGCCATTGCAAATATACCTATTCAGATAAATGACATTACAAATCGTCTATTTATAACCGTGCCACTCAAATTTTTAAAATTAGAACCATGCCATCGCCACCACATTTTCCATCTTCTCCCCCAATATGCACGTGGGACCCGCCTATCAGATTCATTTTCTTCCTCCATCCTCCTCTTTTCTCTTTTTTTTCCATCTCTCTCTACCACTTCTCAGCCTCCTCTTGTGAACGTGGCGGACGCCGCCTCTCTTCTCTGCCTCCTCCTCGCCATCTCGTGCTGCTGCTTAGTGGCGCAGTCCGTCAAGACGAATGGCGGCGGCGGCAACGTGTCGGCGGTTGGGGACCTTGACATACGGCGGCAGGGCCGTCCCGTTAAATTCGAGGGCCCTGTGTAAAGTTGAAGGATAAAAACTTAATTGATGATATAATATGAAAATAATTATACTCTGTAATATATTTCATAGCAATCTAGAATGGCCTAAAATGATAATCCAAAATTAGAGATTACCGGATTAGAAATTACCAGAAAGAATTAGGTCAGGGGCGCGGCAGGCGTCAACCGGCACGACCGCACGAGAGAAAGAAGTGAGGCGTCGTTTACTCCTCTCGTTCGTTGTGATTGGCAAGGTCCATAGTGGGAGGCGATTCAAGATTGCGAACCGGCGCAACTGTGCGAACCGGCAAAGGCGTAATCGAAGCCGAAACGACAAGAAAAATAACAGATTTTTAGGACTAGTTAGACTACCAATTTACTTATTGAGTTATATATCTAGTGCGTTGAAGTTTTGGGCCTAGGGGGCCCCTGAAAATTGGGGACCCTGCGCGGGCGCGCTGGCCGTACGCCCCTAGGGACGCCCTGTGCGGCGGGAAGGCTTCCACGTCGCCTCGGCCGGGAGGCCCCCGCCATGGGCAGCCCCCACGACGCCGAGCCGCCGACTGCTTCGATCTTGGTTGGTACATTCTTGTTAAATCCAATCGCTATCGGTAGATTTGATGAGTTCATTTGTTAAATTGATAGTGAGAAACGTTAAATCTTTGCAGAGAATGGCGTCGGCGAGCACGGCTAGCCAACGCACAAGGTGGTGCACAGCAGCACAGGGTGACGGACGCTGACAACAACCTCCGTGCCGGTGACCCGTTCCCTGGCGCAACGGCGAACATCACAGACGTGGGGGAGAGAGATTGGAAAAAAAAAGAGAAAGAGGAGAGGGTGGAGGAAGAAGATGAATCTGACAGGTGGGTCCCACGAGCATATGAGGGAGAGGATGAAAAATGAACGGCGATGGTATGGTTCCAATTTTATTAAATTTGAGTGGCACAACTATAAATAGACAAATTGTAATGGTATTTATCTAAATACGCACATCTATTATATTATTAAAGGAATAGAAAAAGGAGCCTCCACGTTCGCTCTTATGGCCTAGAAATTCTCACATTAATCGGAGAAAAAGAAAAAGCAGAGTCCATATAGAAATACAATTTAGAAATAGCTGAAATTCGGAATTAAAAATAAGGAATATTAGAATAGAAGACTAGAGTCCATATAGAAATACAATTTAGAAATAGCTGAAATTCGAAATTTAAAAATAAGGAATATTAGAAGAGGAGACTAGAGTCCATATAGAAATACAATTAGGAAATAGCTGAAATTCGGAATTAAAAAATAAGGAATATTAGAATAGGAGACTAGAGTCCATATAGAAATACAATTTAGAAATAGTTGAAATTCAGAGTTAAAAAATAAGGAATATTAGAAGAGGGGACTAGAGTCCATATAAAAATACAATTAGAAAATAACTGAAATTCGGAATTAAAAATAAGGAATATTAGAAGTAGAGTATAGAGTCCATATAGAAATACAATTAGGAAATAACGGAAATTCGGAATTAAAAATAAGAAATATTAGAAGTAGAGTATAGAGTACATATCTTAACTAATTAAAAGATTAGTATTTTTCCTATCGTCACATAATTTTCATTCGTATGTATGATTTTTCACTCGTCCGTGTGATCTGTCCTTCCCCGAGTCCGAGTCTGCCTTCAGAAAGAATCCCCGAGCTAGATCCTCAAATCAATCAATCAACCAGATAATCAAAAACAACACGAAAATACCAATCTCGACCTCATGAATTTGATCCCCGCAAGAAACCTAATACCCATGTATTACCTCTCTCCCAATCCGATCCATCTGAGCAAGAAAATGAATCACAAATCCACAAAATCATGAAATGAAAAATCCAACAACATTAAGTTACGTTGGGTTGCAGGCGACGTGCGGCAGCGGAAGTGCTTGGCGCGGTCGTCGGGCTTCTAACTAACTAAAATTTAGAATAAACATAATAAAATTAAAAGTAGAGTTTAGAGTCTGTATAAAATACAATTTATAAATAACTAAAATTCGAAATTAAAAAAAACATGGAAAGAAGAGTTTAAAGTACATATAGGAATACAATTTAGAAGTAACTGAAATTCGAAATTAAAAATTAAAAAATATTGAAAGATGAGTTTAGAGTCCACATAGAAATACAATTAAAAATAATAAAAATTAAGAAATAAAAATAAATAATATTGAAAGAAGAGCATAGAGTCTATATAGAAATACAATTTACAGAAAATTCGAAATTAAAAAAAAGAAGTATTAAAAGACGAGTCTAGAGTCCATATAGGAATATATATAATTTACAAATAACTAAAATTTAATATTAAAAATAATTAATAACTAACACGTATATAAAATACAATATAAATATTACACATTAATAGTTTTGTAAAGTTATTGCAAAATTTAAAAATATGTTGTGATTTTAATATATTTGAATAATATAATGAGAAAACATATATGCTATTATATGAGAGAGAATATAATGATACTAGCCGCGCAATCTGCGCGGGCCACCATGCTAGTTTGTAATTAACCCTAATAATTTGGTCTACGGATTTTCATATTTCTTTTATGTATAAAGGTAAAGTGGTTATTTTTATAGCAACTAAATACGAGCAGATGTATGGAGTACCGTTGGTTCAACGGTTTAAAAAAAAGAAAAAAAAAGAAAAAACTACAATTAGGGATGGAGGGGATACCTAGTTGGCAAGACTATGCACAGAGGTAAATTCGAGTGACGCATACCATACATGACCTTTTTTTTAACGAATAGCATTGGACAACATAAAGTTTCTATTGGTATAGTAGGACAAAGGTCTCGTTGAGATCCTAAAATTTTTGTCAAAAAAAATCACATCAAATGTTTAGAGTTTGGACACATACATGGGACATTAAATGTGAGGGGAAAAAATACCAATTGTACAATTTGCTTGTAAATTACGAGACGAATCTTTTGAGCCTAATTACGCCACAATTTGACAATGTGATGCTACAGTAAATATTTGCTAATGACGGATTAATTAGGTTTAATAAATTTGTCTCGCAGTTTATAGACGGAATCTGTAATTTATTTTGTTATTATTCTACGTTTAATGATTTAAATGTGAGTCCGTATACTTTAAAATCTTCACACTCAGATTATCTTTTTGAAGACTGTAACTTGAAGAAAACTCACCAACCACACGCCGACAACACTATCAACGTACTACAAGTCATCATTGTCGCAACTGTACACACGTGTTCCTTTTATACTGTAAGTGGTGCATCGGTCTTCACTCCAATCACTCCTCGAAAGATCCTTGTTTGTACTCCCCGTAACATAATATAGCAATTTAAAAATAGATAAGATATTTTATAGTATAACGAATCTAAATAAAAATGTGGTCAGATTTATTATACTATAAAATTTTTCGTCTAGTTTTAACTTGCTATATTATAGGAACAGAGAGAGAGTATTTAGCCGTCATGATTTCAAAGCTATTCGAGCACATGAATCCTAGCTGCTATAGGGTGTGTTTAGTTCACGTCAGAATTAAAAGTTTGGTTTAAATTAAAACAATGTGACGGAAAAGTTAGAAGTTTATGTGTGTAGAAAAATTTTGATGTGATGAAAAAGTTAAAAGTTTAAAGAAAAAGTTTAGAACTAAACAAGGCCACAGTGGAATAGCCTGAAGAATCAATCCATATTCTTCCACTAGAGCGCCGCCCATACCTTTCACCGTGGAAAATTATAGAATGCCCACCAGAATTTCGTGTACTAACTGTGGAAAAAAACCCCACCAAGCTAAATTGAGATCCTCTGCATAAGAGATACTAAAGGGAGAGGATGAAATGTACTGCACATTAGGGGTACTGTAGACCGACAGAATCGGATCGCACGCTAAGGTAAATTTGGTACAGACAATATGCAACAGTACGTTTTTTTGGTTCCAGTAGCTACAGTAAGCAACACTGTTTATGGCATTAGTTCACTGCTCCCTCATATGAACAGTACATCTCTGCAGTAGGGATGGCAATTGGGTGTGACGGGCATGGGTAGTGCCTATTCATACCCGTGCCCGTGAGATTATTTGTGCCCGTGGGTATACCCATTACTACATGACGGGTAAGGATGGTTACCCGCCACAACAAAAGCAGTGGAACAAAAAGTCTACAAGCTTCTAAGTTCAAATCAAACTTAAAACATCAAATATTCTCCGCCTCGGTGTGGTGTCTCTCCTCTGGTGACGATAGAGGGGGAGAGAAATAATAAGGAAAATAAAAGGGAAACCGTAGAAAACAAAGAACGTGGCTTATGTATTCTAGTGGATTTTGATCCTAGCCTAAATGTAAGTTAGATTTCACGGGTAAACGGGCAAAGCGGGCATGGGTAGTGATTACACATACCCATACCCATTTACCCATCGGGCATAGCTTTTGACCCAACAAGATACCCATGGGTATAAAATGGAGAACAAACCCAACCCTAATAGGTTTTTATCCATGGGTTAACGGGTAAACGGGCACAATTGACATCCCTACTCTGTAGTACTGTTGTAGTACTGTAGAAGAAGTCTTGCAGTCACCACTTTCACCGTGTGCTCCACTTGCAAATTAAGGGGCTGTTCAGATTGATGACATTTTCAACTATACCATTATTTGTTAAAATTGACAATTATGTAGCTATATTTAGTTTGTTACCAAATATTGGCAATATGTATAGAATTTTGGTAACATTATTAAGCTAATCCTACCGAAATTTTGGCAATAGTGTCAGTTTGTTAAAATTTTGGTATTCCCAAATTTTGGTAAGGTTAATTTTGGCACCAGACCTAAATTGGCAGGCAGACACAGGTATACTTACGTGTCCATGTCCAAGCCTTTTAGCAGAGAATTAGGGTAGTTTTGGATTGCTACCAAAACAATATTTTAGTAGCATAAATAGTACCTATCATTTGTTTGGATTGATGCTAACTTTTTGGTAATGTCTATACCAAATTTGGTAGTAATATAGAACTTTCTTCAGTATAGTATCACAATTTAGCAATATTTTAGTAGCAAACCAAATAAGATGAATACAAATTTATTCTACCAAATAATTGGTAGTAGTGACAAAACTTAAAAAATAATAGTAGGACACTAATCCAAACAAACCCTTACTGGTGAAGAAAACAATATGGAGTCATCAGCCAACCCTTGAGTCCATCGGCATAATAAAATGTCTCAACTCTTCCAAGGAAACCCATCGGCATAATAAATAAATTAGCTAAATGTCTCAAACTCCTGTCATCTTGCTCCATGAACCATGATAGGCATCAGTTATTGGAGCAACTAGGAAATCCTCGCGTGTAGGGTTATATAATTAGGTATTCTAATAGTAGAAGTTTAAATGTTTTTATAAATTATATGATATTGTTATAAAATATTAATAGAAATTTATGAAGCTAGACACAAGGCTGTATCAGCCCCCGTCATCAATAACACTCACTGGTGGAGAAGTACTTTTTAATCCCGGGACTACGAATCCGGGACTAAAAAGATTTAGTCCCGGTTCAAATAACCGGGACTAAAGATATTTTTTCTTTTTTTTTCTCTTTTTCATTATTTTTAACATTGAATATTGATTTCACACCATCCCCTAATCATACTAAGAAATCCCAAATCCAAATCATCACATATCACAGAACATCTCCAAATCCTCAAATAGATCATCTCTAAATACATCACAAACTCTTAAAAAAATTACATCACAAGTTCTAAAAAATACATCAAGATTCACATCACACACAAATCAAATACATCACAGGATAAATCATAAATTGTAAAAAAAAAAGAACAATCAGCCGGCCACTGCCGCCTCCTATCCTCCCCTCCGCGGCGGCCGGCCGCCGCCGGCCGCCGCCGCGCGGCCCCCCGCGCCGCCCGTTGCCTGGCCGGCCCGCCCTCTTCTCGCTTTGAATGGAAGGAAAAAAAAAGGAAAGAGAAGGCTAGGAGTTAGAGATAAGGAAAGAGATAAGAAGTTAGAGAGGAAAAAAGAGATAGAGGGAGGAGTTTGTTGTGTGGATGGGAAAAGAGGATCGGTACTAGGGACTATATAGTGTGTTTTGATTTTTATTCCCGGTTAGTAACATCAACCAGAACTAAAAATAGGTTTTTAGTCCTGGATGGTGTTACTAACCGGAACTAAAGATCCTAGGGCCCTAATACAGCCTAACATGGAATCAACCGGGACTAAAAATGATTTTTAATTCCGGTTGGAGTTTCCAACCGGGACTAAAGATCATCCTCTTATAAGTCCCAGTTTTTAATGGAACCGGGACTATTGTGAATTTGGGTCGACCAACCAAAAATGGTTTCTCTACCCATGACTTACAAAAAAAGTTGCTGAACTTAGAAAACTTACTAGAAACAACGTGCGGCTTTGCCGCGCCCAATTTAGATTAGGCCAATCTATTTTGTCAGTGGCCTTGTTTAGGATCAATGGTTTTTTTTCTTAACATATTGAACCAGAAACCTAAAGAAATAAATTAATAGACGTTGGGACTTGAGATCAGAAGAGGAAAATAAAATGTTCTTGAACAAGAGCAAGAAAAAGGACTCAGTAGAACCATTGGCAGGGGATTTATGTATTTGACAGGTGAGTATTAATTACACCATTGCTAACATGAAAAAAGAGTGAGAATCCCTTATGTGTCACTCCAAATTAACCGGTTCTCTTATATGCCCCTTCAAATTGGCTCTTCCTTTCTATGCCACCGGTTCAAGTTTGTCCTCCCTTTTATGCCATTGCCGTCACTCCACCGTCAGTTGACCGTTAACTTCATAGTAAAAAGACACATTTACCATTGAGAGTTGGTATATAACCAATGATAGGTATTTTAGTACTAATATATCTACTGGATACAACATATGAAAATTGATTTTGTTTTTCAATCACATGCAATTTTAGCCATCACCATCACAAATAAATTTTCAATACAAGTATGAAACATGCAGCTTTCCAACAATATTTTTATTACAAAGAGCATTTTCCACTTGTTCTGACAAAACTTTGTTCACTCAAAAAGGATTTAAAATAAATTAGTTATGATTTTTTTGAAGTTTACACATTTTTTAGTTGAGATGGCATATTGGTCATTTATGAAAAAAAACTAATATTTGACTAACAGTCAACAAATGCTATAGTGCTGGGAGTAGCATAAAAGGATAGAAAAACTTAACTAGTGGTGTATAAGGGAGAAGCCAATTTTGAGTGGCATATAAGAGAACTAACCAATTTCTAGTGGCATATAAGGGATTCTCTCAAAAAAGAAAGGAATGCCTTGAATGGATGCTTTGTCAGCGTTAAATTTTGCAATTCCAATTTGTTTTTCTTCCGCATTTTTGAAAGGAAAAAAATTATATATTAAAAGAATACACAAAAACTCCTACTTCGATTGGTTAAATATTGCATCTAACTGTACAGGTATAATAAAAAGCAACCTTACAAAATCTTCATGGCAATGGTAGAAAAAATTCAAATGTCAAGTACTTCAGAGGTCAAATTAGACAGTACTTCAGTACCAGGCTAGGAAAATAATCAAAATTAAACATTTAATAATATGGTTCCTTATCAACTTGAGCATGATCACTGATCTTGTTGCCTAATAACATGATTGGTTTTTTTTTATTTCTTCAAAATAATGCCAGTTCAGTTTCAGAATTCAATGCTCAGTATTCAGTATCATGTCATTGCATGAATAGAAGAGTACGCAAAGAGACCATTGCCAAAATAAAAGAAAGTGCATGAAGCTACGATTAATCATGGTACTAATTCAACCATACTTGAGTTTCGACAGCACTACAATGTATGAGAAAGATCTCCATGGGCTATTTATTAGTTTACAAATTTATTAAAATTACAAAACGATGCATGAATTTCCAGCTTATTTTCCACTTGAGTGCTGAGAAAATGCAGAAACAATCTGTAATATAAAGTAACATAATAATGCTAACGACATAACAGTTCTAGTACCAATTTCTGCTCTCTGTAATATGAATTTAATTTAATTCTAATATCTAATTGTTCTCAGATATGACATAGTTTCTGGAATAAGCTTTATTCAGATCAATTGAAGGCTGCAAGACAATGAGTTCATCGACATCAGTTGAAAGTCGAATATGTGCGCACAAATTCTAAAGTCCAATGAACCAAAGTAATGAAAGTACTTATCTTCATTTTATCCCTCCAGATGTCTATAAGAACTCTGGAAATCCTTTTTTTAAAATAACTTTCACTTCTTATTCTTTAAAGATCACGTTTTGAGTGCATTTCAGTTTACACAAAGAGCCTGAGGAATTGATTATTCGTTTAATAATTTGGTATAGCGTTTACCTCAAACATGAGCAGAATATGCTGGTGCCTCCTAATCCTCTTGTACCAGTAGATTCTTAGTAGATAAATGATTGCAAAGAAGCCTGGTCTTACGTGTTGCACATTGTAACTTATATATGCAGCTGAACTTTACCGTAGATAAACTTTACCGTTTCTTTTAATCTTTAATCTTGCACCAAGTAAGCAAGGATTCTCTCTCATTCATCTAAGTATCTAATCACCATATATGTTTTTGCAGTTCATGTCTACATAATTTTTCTTTGTGTCATTTTTTTTTATTTGTGTCATTTTAAAATTGTACATGATAATTGGTCCAAATCAGTAAAAAACTCTTGATATGAATTGTATCCCCAACCTCATCTTACCACTTAAGGTTATCATGAGATAGCCCCATCTTGACGTTTGCTATTTTAAACTTCTGAAATTACATACAACAGATAGGCAATTTACCGATTTAAATTCAGATGGTTACAAAGAAACCCAAGAAACTGACAGAGACTACATTTTGGTCTAGGAGCATTCGCATGGCAACATATTAATAAGCATTATTAAACTCTCAGTGGTCACAGACAAACAACATGATGGATTCACATCATAGGTTCTACTAATCGTTGGCAGATGACATTGTTGAACTATTTTCCACTAATAAGCATTACAACGAACAGGCAGAGTGCAGCAGGGGATAGTAGTTTGCAATTCAGAGGGGTGAGACGGTGGATGACCTGGAATAGCCGATGGAGTTGGTGAGCCAACCTGGAGAAGTCAATGCTGCGATGTGGGCGGAGGCGGCGCCTCGGCTGCCGGTGGCGGAGAAAGTGGACGTTGCGGCTGATGAGGAACACGTGGAGAGCGGCGACGCACCAGAAAATCATGGGGGCGAGGCAGCGCCCTCGATTCAACGACCGCGTGCCGGCAGCAGGGCGGGCTGTTGGCTCGGGATCGGCAGCCGCCCGGCGACAGCGAGGCGACGGCCGCGGTGGGGAACGAGCGGAGATTGGAGCCTTGGCGGCGGATGGGAACGGATGACGAACGAAGTATTTACTGGAGTATGGATACTCTACTCTTTTGCATTAAACTCCCTCGAAAGATTATATTTTACAACAAGATCCACCGCACGATATATCACCGTAGATGCGTGATCTGACGGCTGTGCGCGAGGGACCAAACCCATGAATCCAGTCATGCCACGTGGCCTCGCTAATTGCCCTCTGATTTGTACAGATTTCGATAGTAGAGATTACAAGCACAGTGCATATAGAGAGATAGGGATGAACATATATATGAATCATACAGGTATCCCACTAAAAGATAAAATAAACGTGTAGGTCAGAATTCTAAAACTTAAAAAAAAAAGAAGTTCTGCACTAGTGATTCTGTACTCCAACAGTTGCAAGAAGACACCAGGTGCATCTTGAATAACATGTCACTGTGTACATGTGGGAAGATGGTTGTTGAGAATGAGAACCATACTACTTGCTCTAAAAGAGTATGTTCATTTTTTTTTGCCACTTTCAAGGCTATCAAAGTTAAATGTATTATTGTTGTTGGTAGTATTAGAGCAGGTACAATAACAAACTATAAGCCAGATATAAATACATTTCTAGGAGATAAAAAGATGAGAAAGAAGTGCAGCGGGCTACATATTTATAGCCAGCTGCAGCACGGATTGCAAGACGCAATGTGTGTATGACAGGTGGGACCATGTATCTATAGTATAGTAGGTAACTATTGTATGTATTAGTTATTAAATTGACTATAGATATATTGGAGCTGATAGACGGCTATACTATGAACTTGCTCTTATATGTGTTTGTTGTAAAGTATTCGGTAAAGTTATTAATAGTAGTGTCGTTTGTTAGAACGCTATGCGTTGAACTAAGAGCTCAATGGTGATACAAGAGAAAGAGATTTATACAAACTCGATGAGAGATAATTATATTAATACCGTACTCTACTCTTGTTTAGTGAATTGTATTGCTATAGGGTTTTGTATATGTCATGTTCATGTGATTGCATCTGCCCCAATCTTGAGACCCACGCCCATCTTATATAGATTGAGATACACAGTTACATGTAGTTATTAGTAATTTAGCCACATACGACTTGTTTTATGTATAGGAAGCTTACGAATATTCTATCCACCCATTATCTTGTATTACAAGTGTTAGCCATTCCCAAGTTCTGCTCTACTTACAAGTAGCCGATTTGGTTCACCTCCTATTTATCAAGTCAGGTAAGCTTTCTATGATAGTATTTGTGGCCTATACCCTTTATGACAGAAACTTTCAGGATTACTAATTTTTTTTATAGGTTTCAATAGAATAGCAATAGTAAAATTTTATTTGGTTTATATGAAATTTAGAAATACTAAGAAGATATTTTGTTTGGTCAATAGCATTGCCCTATAAAATACAGTGATGGTAATAAGTTTGCTAGGACAAAGGTTAGCCGGCTTAGCCCCAATCCCAAATAACCATTATACTATTCCCAGCTTCCGAAAATAACCATTATATTCGCATCTAATCACAGTTTATTAGGAATAAAATATATACTCCCTCCGTTTTAGGTTATAAGATGTTTCGACTTTGTTCATACTACTCTAAATTTAACTAATTCTGTAGAAAAAATATTAATATTTATAACAACAGCATAGTTTCATTAAATCTATAATTGAATAAATTTTCATAATATATTTGTTTTGGGTTTAAAATATTATTATTTTTTTTATAAAATTAATCAAACTTAGAATAGTTTGACTTTGATTACGTCTTCTAACCTGAAACAGAGAGTAGCAGTTTGAATAAAAATACATTAATTAGTCAGCTTTGGCGAGCTTAGGATGCTCACCAACTCTTCCAAGTCTACGGAAGAACTCCCACCCTCCGCCACCGCCGCCGCCGTGCTCCTGCCGAGCTCCGCCGCGCGCTGTCTCACCGACGCCCCGCCGTTCCCGATCGCCGAGGCTATGGCGTCGGCCATCTGTCCGGCGTCGGGCACGGCGTCGGCGCCCTCCGCCACGGCCACGGCCACGCCGGCCTCCGCGAGCAGCCACGCGTTGGTGAACTGGTCGGCGCTCATCGGCCACGCGAGCATCGCCACGCCGGCGGCGACCGCCTCGAGCACCGAGTTCCAGCCGCAGTGCGTCAGGAACCACCCCACGGCGCGGTGGCGCAGGATCTCCACCTGCGGCGCCCACCCGCGGATGACCATACCGCGCGCCGCCGTCGCCGCCTCGAACCCGCCCGGCACCGGCGTGCCGCCCCTCGCCGCCCAGACGAACGGCGCCGCGCTCCGCCCCAGCGCGCCGGCCAGGCTCGCCGCCTGCGCCGGCGACAGCGCCTGCTGCGTCCCGAAGCAGACGTACAGGACGGAGCCGTCGTCGAACGCGTCCAGCCACGCCGCCACCCTCGCCGGCGCCACCGCCGGCTTCCCGCCGCGGTCGGTGCACCGGCCCACGGCGTCCGACAGGGGGCCCACCGCAAACACCTTCTTCTCCATCAGGTCCGGGAGCGGGCGATCCACGTACGCGGCCTCGATCGCCGTGAAAGAGTTGGCGACGAAGCATGAGCTCTCCAGATTCCACAGGAAGAACTGCCGGATCGCCTCGGAGACCTCGTCGCCGGCGACGTACGTCCGGTACAGCCACGACAGGTGGCTCCAACGGAACGTGGGCGAGCCGGGCACGTCCTGGAAGCTGACGGCCTCGTCGGGGCAGCGCCTTCTCGGCAGGCGGCGCCAGAGGGAGTGCGACACGGCGAGGTAGTGCGCGCCGGAGGCCGAGAACGTCACGTGCGGCACGCCGAGGTCCGCGGCGAGCGGCTGCGTCCACCCCGTGAACATGTCGGAGACGACGGCCGTGACGCGGCGGCGGCGGCGGCGCTGCGCCTTGCACCAGGCGAGCAGCGGCGCGCGGAGCGCCGCGAGAGAGGCCATAAACGGGCGGAAGAGGTGTCCCGGCAGGTCCTTGGTGTTCTCGCCGCACCCGGCCGGGAGGAGCCCCGACGCCGACGCCGCCGGGAAAGGCAGGGTGACCGTGGCGACCGACGACGGCGGGCACGACGCCAGCAGCGGCGCGAGGAGCGGGACGTTCCCGGGCGTCACGGCGACGGCGAGCGCGAGGCCGCGCGCGGCCAGCAGCGCGACGAGGTCGAGGAGCGGGAGCATGTGGCCCTGCGCCGGGTACGGCACGACGAGGACGTGCGGCTTCTTCGTGTCGCCGTCGCCGTCGCCATGGCCGCCGTCGGACGCAGGGCTCCGGGGCGGTGCGTGCGCGTCCATGGCCGACAGCAAAACGAGAGGTGCAACCCAATTATCAACAGTTCAACACTAGAACTGGAGTGAATTGGCTTAGACAAACACAATCGATGCAACGTCAGAGACTCTGGCTGCTGCCGACGAACGGTCCTCCGGTAGTAATTTATAGTTAGAAATTTTAAATATGTGTTATTAATGATTTAGACGTTAATCTTGAAAAAGAAACTACAATAAAAGGTCTTAAAAAATTAAAATTAAAGTTTAAGATTTAATTTTTGTCATCGCTGTATCCATGTAGGATAAAAGAAAGTGCTTCTATTGTACGACTGACCTTTTTTTTTTTTATGTCTTGTATACGAATGACTTTGACGTCGAGATAGGTACCCTGTCCTTCCGTTTCATATTTAGTAGGATATGTGTAGGGAGCTGACGTTCTGAGAAACAATTGATTGATAGCCAGTTTCTGAGAATCTGAAAAGGTTGGGTTTTACAGCTTCTAACTCCTAGTTCATTTTCTGGATTTTATAATTACAGTTTCTTAAAATCTGGACCAAAGCTAGCTATGTTGTTTGGGGAGCTTCTAATTCTGTCAGAAGCTAGGTTGTGATGGATTGTAGCGGTTGGTATCTTTCTTTTTTACATGAGCAGTAGATTAACGCATGATTAATTAAGTATTTTTTTAATTGGTCATCGTATTAAAAGAGTACGCCAAGATTAATAAAAGTTAATAGTTCTCTCGTACTATATTTACTTCGGTAACAAACTCTATTACATGTAATCCCGACTATTTTGTAACCAATAATAAACCAAAATGTTGCATGTTGATTGTATATAGTTGTGCGCATGGATATATATATATATATATATATATATATATATATATATATATATATATATATATATATATATATATGTATCAATGTCCATTTACTTTCATACGCAGATAATAGAAAGATTTAGGGAATGCATATTAAAAAGGTGATCATTTGGGAATAACCTCAAAATATTATATGATGATTAATTAGGAACGAAGGGAGTATTAGATAAACAAATTTAAAAAATAGATTAATGCTACCCCGTCCTAAAATATAACGACTTCTAGCAATTTATCTCCACCTATATTTTGTTTTCAACCAATTACAACCCTCCAACATTTAAATTCTCCACGTACTTTGTCTTCTTAATCAATCACAACACTTCTCCATTCAATACCCTTGCACGACTCTAAAACTACTTATATTTTGGGACGGAAGTAGTATGATATTTCAAAGAAACTTTCCTATAGAATTTTTTTCGAAACACACACGTTTAGTAGTTCGAAAAGCGTGTGCGTGAAAACATAAGAGTGGGAATTTAGTGGCAATTTAAGGGGATTCTTTTCGTTTGATTTAGATTGTCGAGTAGATTATTACGACGGATTATCGATTTGATTATAGGCATAAATTATTAATTTAAGAAATAAACTTAACATATAACATAAAAATAAGGTGGTGTTTAAAACTCACTGAGATAAAGATTAAGTTGGCGCATGTAATACGAGAAAATCATTCGCAAATGATTAATTAAGTTTTAATTATTACAAACTTGACAAAAATAGATATATTTTATATTTTAAAGTAACTTTTATAGAGAGTTTTCGTATGAAACATACCGTATGTTGAGTAATTTGAAAAACGTGCTAACGGAAACGGAGGTAAAAAGCCGACGCACGCGGCCGGGAGGAGCCGCGACGCGGACGACGGGAAAGCAGCGTGACCGTGGCGCGACCGAGGAAGGCGAGCGCGACGCCAGCAGCGGCGCGAGGCGAGGGGCGGGAGCATGTGCCCCTGCGCCGGCCGGGTACGGCACGACGTCGAGTCGACGAGAACGTGCGGCTTCGCGTCGCCGACGTCGCTCGCTGGGGCTCCGCGCCGATGCTTCCATGACCGACAGCAAAAGGAGAGAGGTGCAGCCCAACGCCGGAGCTTACCAATGAAATACTACTACTACTCCTATCAAATTAGAGCGAGTACAATAGCAGGCTATAAGTTAGCTGTTCGCACACGTACGTGGAGATGAGAAGAGGAGAGAGAAAGAAAGCGTGCTACATATTTGCAGCCAGCTACAGCACGGACTCCAATACATTATGTGTGTGGGAGGTGAGACTATATTAAAGGTGTAGTATATTTTTATAGATAACTGTTTATGAATTAGCTATTTAATTGGCTATAGATGAATTAGAGCTATTAGTTGTATATACTATTAAACTTGCTACCTTTAAACGAAGTGATAATCCCAGCTAGTAAATACTGTGGGCCAAATCAACCAGGTCGTACTGGCTACTGTTGTTGCTACTGTGCTGAAAAAGTCTGATCTTAGGACATTTTTTGACTACTTTGATAAGTTGTTCAGATCATTGCTTGCTTGCTTTCTGGAGTGCAGGATCAAAGATGTTCTACAAGGAGGTAAAATAGGATTTTTGAAGAACACGGTCAAAGTAACCCTTTTCAAAGTTTTCTAACCTAGTTGACGTCTTACACACTCTAGTTGAGACTAAGAAAAGAAACGCACAAACTAAGACCGTGTTCGTTGGTTGAAGTTGAGAACTTCTCTCTTTCACATGGAAACCGGAATAGTAGATTAGCGCATGATTAATTATATATTAGCTAAAGAAAACTTTAAATAGACTAATACTCCCTCCTTACTTAAATTTTTAACGCCGTTAACTTTTTTAAACATGTTTGACCGTTCGTCTTATTCAAAAACTTTTGTGCAATATGTAAAACTATATGTATACATAAAAGTATATTTAACAATGAATCAAATAGTAGGAAAAGAATTAATAATTACTTAAATTTTTTGAATAAGACAAACGGTCAAACATATTTAAAAAAGTCAACGGTGTCAAACATTTAGAGATGGAGGGAGTATGATTTTTACAACAACTTTCCTATATTTTTTTTTACCAAAAAACACACTGTTTAGCGATTTGAAAAACGTGTACGTGAAAAATGGAGGAGTGGAGTTGGGAAAGTGTTACAGATAGTGGAAGAAAGGGAATTCCAGATACAACGATATTGGGTTTTTTAAGGTATCGGAGATTCAACAATATCCACTAATCCTCGTTAAAACACTATGCGTAAGAGTTTTGCCCCTATTTCATATATAGTCACAAAGTCCACGATCGCCCTCATATTTTGGTTCTTTCCCACTGTGAAAAAACCCCAAAAATCTTCACACAAATGCTATTTCTCCCATAATCTTCTTATAAGACCACCAAACACGCTTCTAAGAGTGACATGATGAAGCCTTCAATTGAAGCCACCGATCAACACTAGACTCTTGGTGGGTGTACTCAAACGATCACTCTCAAGCACTACACTTGCAACAAAAGATCGTCTCCAATTAGCTATAGTTGCTCGTGGACTATTCCTCGAGTTTCTCTGGTTCAAGGGTACATGAGCAACTAGCTATTGTACCATAAAGGGGCAGAAAATCCGATCACAATCGGATTATTCGGCTGAGCATTGTCTGGATAACCTTGGTATGAAATTAATGTGTTGATTTAATATATGTGATGAACAATTTGTCAAAGGTAAGTGTTTATTGAAAATACAGTGAATAGTGTTTCTGTTGGTGAACTGTGCAGGTCGGCATTGGGTGGCCGGTCAAACCGGGTAGTACACGCCGGTAAGACTGAAGGTATCCAAGTGGTCTAAGATGCTACGTGGGACAAAACCGGCTGGGGAATTGATTTGCAGTGGTTCTGGGAGTTGTATGATGGGTTATATCGGTTGATAGATGCGACTCAACCAGGGATATGACTTGAGGGAGGTAAAATAGACTTATCCACTTGGTTTTTGACCTAGGCCCAACTGCTCTGCAAAGTTAAAGTACAGAGGCCCAAAGTCGAGGATATTGGACATGGCCTGTCTGAATTCGGAAAAAGTACACCGAAGGTCCCTCAACTTGTCATCGAGTTACGAAATCGTCCCCCAACCAAACCGGATATACGTCATCTCTCAACTTACAAAACCGTTCACTTTGGTTTTGACTCCGATTTTGTCCGACGTGGCGCCTAAGTCAGCGTGGGACCCACGTAGGCCCCACACGTCAGCCTCCTCTCTCTCCCCCCTTCTCTCTCTCTTCTCTCTGGGGCTCTGGCCTCTGGGCAGACCAACCGCCGAGTGGGGAAGAGACGACGAGGCGAGGCGGGAGAGGAGGTCCGGCGGCCGGCGACGCGGCGGCGGCGGCGGCGGTGACGTGGGAGCAGGGAGCAAGGCGTCGCCGCCTGGGGAGGAGGGGGGCAAAGCGGCGGCGATGCGTCGTTCATGCCGTTGAGCAGCTTCTTGGCGGCCGCGTTGAACTCCACGGCGTATTCGTTCACGTGGTCCAGGCACTTGCCGTTGCCGGAGTGGATGCGCTGCGACGGGATGCAGCCCAGCGGCGGCAGCGAGTTGAACACCACCTTCCTCGCGCCCAACCCGTACAGCCTCTGCAAAAGCGAACAATTTAACCACCGCCATGGACGATATATCAGGCCTCGTCTTTACTGGTCATTTTCACAGGGGAGATTAGTGTGTGTTCTTGCCTTTAGTTGCCGGTCCAGAGTGGTGATGAGGAGGCGGAGAACGTGTCGTGCGTGTACGTCTGGCCGTCCGCCATGAACGGCTGCAAGAAGTTCTTGATGTAGTCGTTGCTTCCTTCAGAAACAAATCCAGCTAACTATCTGATCAAATGGGGTCAAAACTATCTGATCAGCTGCGCGGGCGGGCAGACGACGGCTTCGAGGTCGACGAGGCCGTCGAGCAGCGAGCAGCAGGGCTCATACGGCGCCACCGCGCCGACCTTGGCCTTAACGAGGCCGAGCACGTTGGCGCACACGCGCAGCTTCAGCGCGTCGCGTGGAACGACGACGACCCGGTGCTAGGCGTCGGCGTCGGCGTCGGCCTCGACGCCGGCGGGCAGTCGGAGTCGCAGGCGCTCGCCGCCACGGTGGGGCGACGGTGGGCATGACGGTGGGGGGCCTGTGCCTGCCGAACTCGCGGCCCTGCAGCGACCGCAAGGCGTTCGTCTTCTGGGACACGTACCACAACTCCGACGCCGCCAATCGGGTCATCACCGACCTCCTCTGGGACGGCCTGCCGAGCGCCGGGAGCAGGGGCGCTGCCACCACCTCCGACGCCGCCAACCGCGCCGTCGTCCCACTCCGCCTGGGTCGAGGAGCGTGACCCCGGCGTCGAGGTGCGCGGCGACGGGGGCTGCGTCCTCCTCACCAGCCGAGGCGGTGCGGACTGGAGGCACGCTGGTGAACCCGGCCATCTCCATGCGCGCCGCCCACTGCTGCAGCCGGGCGTGCCGCTCCCGCCGGTGCGCGCCATCCCGGAGTAGGACGCCCTTGTTCTCTTCGCCCACCATGACGCGCTCCACCTGCGCGCGCTCGTCGGGCGGCCGCGGCGTCGAGGCTGTCGAACACGGCGGCGTAGTTCTGGTGCGGTGGCGGCTCCTTCCCCAGCGCCGATGGCGGCCGGTTGAACAGGTGCCCCTTGGGCCGCCCTGCCGACGACCACGGCCTCGATCCAGCCCGACCTCGACGACATTGCCAAGGTCGCCCTCCACTCCGACGCCCTCGACACCGTCAAGTCCGATGGCATGGCGCTGTTGTTCGAGTCGCTGGCCGCCACGGGCGTGCTGGAGCCGGACGACGCGCTGCTCACCGAGATGCGCGTGCGAATCGATGAGGAGGTCCTCCAAGCTGTCGTCGTCCCCCAGGCCGGTGAACCTCGCAGAGCCCCTTCTCCGGTGTCGCCGCGCCACCGCACCGCCCGTCGCCGGCCGCCGACGCCCTCGTCCTCTCCCACCCCGCCCCGCCGAAGGCAGCAGCCCGCCGAGTCGCCGACGTCCTCTCCAGCTGCCTGCCCAAACGAGAAGAGAGAGAGAGAGGGGAGAGAAAGGGAGAGAAGGGGAGAGGGTGATGACGTGGCCAGCTGACATGTGGGGCCCATGTGGGTTCCATGCTGATTCAGCCGTCACGTCGGATAAAACCGGATTGAAAACCACCGAGGGACCTCGGGTGACCGTTTTATATAGTTGAGGGACCCCGTATATCTAGTTTTGCGGTTCAAGAATGTTTTTATATCTCGATGATAAGTTGAGGGACCTTGGGTGTACTTTTTCCGTCTGAATTCTGACATCGTTCTGGGCCTCTGCTGATGGAAGTGCCAGTGTACTCTTGAATCTTGTTGATTCATGGTCCTCCCCCCCCCCCCCCCCCCCCCTAGATTTTCCGCAATCTTATTTTGATTTTAAAAGTTTATATTTGTAAATTTCAATAAATAATTAGTCAAAGTATAATTACATGTAGTGTGTACAGTCTATGTCAACGGATTCATATTTTGAAGTGTTTTGACGAAAAGTTGATTTATACAGCTATTATTTTTAAAGAAACTAACAGCTAAAATTAATCTTAAAGATTTGTACTAAAATAAGATATGCCTTATATAAGTCAACAGACATCGTCCTATATTCATTTTAAATTATTAAATATACAACGTTGTTGTCTTTTAGACATGACGTCAGACTATTTCTATTTGTCAAAAAGACTATGCGAGCAAGATTTATTTTGTTGTGATTTGTTTTATCACTAAAAATACTTTAACTATGGTTTATATTTTCTCTAACATCTAGTAAGATGAATGGATAGATATCATTTCAAAAGTTAATAATGCTATACATTTAAAGGGTGTGTTTAGTTCACGTTAAAATTAGAAGTTTGGTTGAAATTGGAACGATGTGATGGAAAGTTGAAAGTTTATGTGTGTAGGAAAATTTTGATGTGATGAAAAAGTTGAAAGTTTGAAGAAAAAATTTAGAACTGAACAAGGCCAAAAACGGAGTGAGCAAGTCACAATTGACAGTTTGAGAACAAAAAAAAGGAGTGTCACAGCTGGCCCGGACAAGAAATGCCAGGGAAGTGCAGCTCGGGCTCCGGTGATGATGATTGACTTCCAAACAGCAGGCATACTTGTCTTGCAACTTTCGTTCTGAATTTCTGACAGCCAGAACCAAAAGAGAGTAGTAACAGCAAGCGTGCGCATTTGATTTGATCATCTTTTCACCTCTCCAGCCTTTGTGTACTCGACCAACTGGGAGAATGGAATCCTCATCAGGTCATCATTACCAGACACTACAACTGAAGATTAATGGAGGTAGATTACAGGAAGGAAAGCAGTGCATATATGACTCACTAGTTCAGACAGAAGTACCAAATCAAATGCATTTGTTCAGATGGTTTAGATGCATTTGATTTTTTTTCACTGGCTTTTACACATTCGACCTGGCTCAGGCACCAGGAATGAAAAGGAAAAACAATCGAGTATACGCAGCATCAAAAGAGACACCCAACTTTCCCCGTTTTAAGCATTGCAGAGCTTAGTTGCATCCAAAGCAGAGCTAGAAAGGCTAATGATCTTTGTTTTTTTCTCTTGTGGGGAGGAAAAAGGCTAATGATATCAATGCCATTTTGTTAGTTTAATCTGCCACGATTGCTGTGTTCCATTCGAACCAGCCTTTTCTAATACTAACAATTCCATCCACTCAGATGAATCTCAACTTGTAGTACATGGCGATTAGCAAGTCATGTTGCTGTGATAAAAATGGATGAAATTTTCTTGGCATGCTGCAGAATTGTGCATTTCTTTTGATGAAAAAAGGCATGTAGGTATGGGTTTGCAAGGGTGAGCTGGGGTGCAGGAAGAAGAGACAGTGGCAGGCAGATCAGAGCTACTGCCAACCAATTCTTCAATTCAATGTCACCTTCAGAGCTTACACTGGGTCTGGTCCTCAGCAGCAGGAGCTGCAGAAATCATGAAAAGCCAGTTTGCATGGACCATGCCTTTTCATATGGCATATACTAATAGCTTTTCCATAATTATTGAAAATTTTCAGTTAATGACTCGTCCTGCGAAAAAAATGAGCACATTTCTTGCCTGCTAATAATTCAGGTGCAATGCAAAACAAAACATACTCATAATTATGTAGGACATACTTACAATCCACAACCTCCAAATGCAGAGACCCTCTTGATGAACAGATTGATGCAACAACAACTATGCTACTACAAAGTTTTTTTTTAAAAAATCTTTACTACAAAGTTGATTGTCAACTGTGGATCAAACAATACAGTTCATTGACAAAAAATATTAAACAGAGAATAGCAACTGTTTTAGCATTAGTCGCACATCATTTTTGAATTTCTAATTAAATGCAGATATGCACTCCTAGCAACAACACCGTGAGAGAGAAAATCTTGTGCCGTGTCACAATCACTAGGGTTTTCCCCCATTTTTAGCAGTGAGCATAATTACAATCATAATCCATAATCTTAGGATATCAAGACCCGGATCAAAGGAAAGAAAAATGCGAGTGCTACATGTAAAGCCGGGACCTCACGTGCGCCCTTGCCGGCGGTCACGTGACATCGTTTCCTTTAATTCTCCCGGCAACTCCTCCGCTGATTCCCCGCCCGTTCTTTATCCCCCTCGCCCTCCGATAAACCCCTGAACTTTCCAATTATTACATTTAGGTCCCTACATAAGTTTGGTAATTACAAATAGCCCCTTTAGGGAGGAGACCTTGGCCGTGGAGGTTTCCATAAAAGCCCTCCAAATAGTTCCGGCTTTGCACGGACACGTCCCTCCCTCTCCCCCAGCCTCCGCCGCCGCTCGCCGGCCGGAGGAACCCTCTGATGCCGCTGCCGCCGGTGTCGTGAGGTGGTAGGATATGGGCGGGGTGACGTCCTCGGTGGCCGCGAAGTTCGCGTTTTTCCCGCCCGACCCGCCGGCGTACGGCGTGGCCGACGAGGAGGAGCCGCCACCGCCGGGGTCGGCTGCTCCGGCGGCGGCGGCGACGGCGAGGAGGGTGTCTCTGACGGGGGTCCCGTGGAGGGAAGGTGTGGAGGCGAGGCGGGTGCGGACGCGGCGGGGCACGGAGATCATCGCCGTGTACGTGCGGTGCCCCAAGGCGAGGCTCACCGTGCTCTACTCCCACGGCAACGCCGCCGACATCGGGAAGATGTACGAGCTCTTCGTCGAGTTCAGCGCCCGCCTCCATGTAAACCTCATGGGGTAAGTGTTCGTCAGTTCGTGTGATTATTTGTTTTGGTAGTTTAACTTTCACTGCTTAGGGGAGTAAACGTTGCTGCTTTGGTGGATGATGAATTGATGATTGATGGCTTTGCTTGAATAGCCGGGCCTTGGTTTGATCCGGGTCAATTGTTTTGCCTTCCGTTGGTGTCTTGATGAACTTGCTGCCTTGCTGGAGGGGACCAGTATATATTCATCGTTTAATTGGCTAGCTCGATTTTCATCTCTGTCTATTTGTTTGAGACCAGTTTATATTCGTCGTTAATGAAGTCCTGTGATCTTTTGAATATGTCTTGTTCTAATGCTTAGAATGTCCTGAATTTAGCTGTAGTACACAGAGCACTGTTCATAGTATTGCAGTTTTGGCTTTCAACTAGATTTCTACAATTTGGAATCTGGTAGCACTTCCTCCGTCAATTGATTGTCCTGTCGAGTATGCGTTGTCAAGGATTGATTTCCACCTGATCATTGGGATTGAGCATTGATTAGTGGTTGGCATCTGTTCTATTTGATCTGAAATTTCAGTGGGCTCAGTTCATAGAGTTTATATTGATCAGTGTATTGTGTTCACATGTACTCAAATTCTTTGGATTTGTAAACTACTCGCTCTTTTGGTTTTGCTATTTCGTGACACATGATTAAACAGCTAAATTAGTCTTACAGAGTTACAGTTATTGAGGGCTGTACAAACAGTTTCCTCGTTGACATTGGGGCTACCCTCCTGTACCCAAAAAGAAAAAAAGAACTGGTCGATTGCGCATGAACCTGGTAATAACTAGTTGTAGGTCCTCATTACACACTGTGATAGGTACATCAGAGGAATTTTCATACTGGAAAGTGGGTTGGGATGAGAGCAAGTGTGCCCAAAAAAAGACGTCAGAACAATGAAGTCACTAGTGGGCTTGTCTACAAAGGGGGAGTATTAGAGTTATTTTTTTTTAGAAAATGGAAATGGGTTACATCTCCGGCCTCTGCCCGTAGGCACATAGCCAAAAAGTTCAGAAATGAACAGAAAAGAGCTTAAAAAAGGCAAGATGGTACAAACCCCCAACTTCTACCGATAATATGATCTACTAAAATAATATTTTTTAAAATCACGTAGATTCTATCACGAAATTCTGTAGGTACTACGCCATCCAAACTGGAGTAAAAGTTCCTTAGCTACCAATTCCAAACGTGTAGCACCATTGCGTATAGTATCATGTTTGTTCCTGTGAAAGCATCATACATCAAGAGTGAAGCCAATTGAAACACATGAAGATAACCTGCATGATGTTAGGCATTTTTTTATAGTTAAAAACTATATCATTACGGCAACGCCAAATTGACCAACATAGAGCACTAGCTCCAAATAAAATCATTTTTTTGTGGGTCTAGGCACTCCCCTTAGCCAGTTACCAAAAATATCTTTTGCATTGTGGGGAGGGGGGATATTGAAGGCAAAGAAGACACATCGCCAAGCAAAACGTGCAACATGGCAATCAAAGAAAAGATGTTGGATGGTCTCTTGTGTATTACAAAAACAACATAGCTTGTTTCCCCTCCATTTTCTCTTTATGAGGTTATCTTTCGTCAAGATTACTTTTTTTTTTTGAAGAAACCACATAAATACTTTGATTTTTAGTGATACCTTTACCTCCCATAAGATCCTCTTATGGATTCTTACATTGAAATTGATGATCGCGTTATACATGGATTTGACATTTTGTATTAGAGTCATAATAGTGGTTTTCCATCCCCTCCTTTTTTTCCCCCATTTTTCCTTTTGTTGTTTTTTCCCCAGCTCGACCGATTTTTGTATCTACAACCTTCGATCTTGATACAATGATAAGCAATACGCGTATTCGCAAAAAAAAAAAAAAGCTTGAAAAATGCACAGGTATAGCTTTTTCCTGATCTCACATTCATCAAGAAGGCCATGTTTTCCCTGATCCCACAGACCCACACTCGGCAGGAGAGCCAAGTACTTAGCTTTCCAGGTTGCCTACCTCAATTAATTGGCGTCTGGATTCTTCATGTAAAGCAAATGGTCCAATGGAGCTGGTGCGCTTCCTGCAATAGCCATCGTGTTTGAGATGTTTTTGTCCGATTATTGATCACAAAAATCATTCCATGTTTCATTTTCAATGATGTTCAGAACTAACTGTTGCTGATAAACAACGCAAAAGATTCTTAGTCAATTTTGTTGTATCCTGTCCTGTAGACTTTCATTTTCTGGACTTTGTGACGTTTTTTTTTATAACAGAGACATCTTTGTCAATGTGGAGGATTTCAATTATGCTAGATAGGCTATTCGCATTCACCTTGGTGCATCTATTTTTAACTGTTTTAAGGATAAATTCCTCATATCCTACTAAAATTTTACCCGTTACCTTATTTGCCACTTCATCGTAGCAAATGAGGAATTGGTGTGAATTAATGGTTGTATTTATGTACTTAGCTCCTCATTTTCCTGCATTTGGAATAATTTCCTCAATCTTTGCAGGTATGATTATTCTGGTTATGGACGGTCATCAGGCAAGGTTAACAATGCTCTCTATTCTTTCCTGAAATTAACGCTCTTATCTTTGCCTATATAGGAGTGCAATAAACCTAACATTACTTTCGGAATGTTTTATTAGCTGATGAATTGGAAACACTTGAGGCCTTCTATTTTCTTTTTACAAGACACCGCAAAACTGAACCCCACTTGATTGTTTTCAGTTCCACAATTCCTCTTTTCAGTGAGCTTATTCCAATAATTGAGTTAAAGACTAAATTGGAAATTGAAAGCCCTATTGAATCAAATCATTCTGTTTCCTTCCATTCTCAGGCAAGTGAAGCTAATACCTTCGCTGACATAGAGGCTGCATACAAATGCCTTGTGGAGGTATATGGCACCAGGGAAGAAGACATTATCCTGTACGGTCAGTCTGTCGGTAGCGGTCCGACTGTCGATTTAGCTGCTCAGTTACATCGTATAAGAGCAGTAGTTCTGCACAGCCCCATATTGTCTGGCCTGCGTGTCATGTATTCTGTGAAGAAAACATACTGGTTTGACATATACAAGGTTTGCCTCACTGACGACTGAACTATCAAGAGATACTAAAATTAATTCCCATGCATTGTCCATGCTAACCGAACACCTGTTTTCTTTGCAGAACATTGAGAAAATGCCCCTTGTTAAATCTCCCGTTTTGGTAATTCATGTAAGCCTGAATATATATGCATCTCTGTGCATTTCTCATGTACAACTTTATGTAATTTAACTTAATATATCCTTTTCACTTGTTTTTCAGGGCACAAATGATGATATTGTCGATTGTTCCCATGGGAAGCAGCTATGGGAGCTGTGCCAAAATAAGTATGAACCTCTATGGATCGAGGGAGGAGACCACTGTAACCTGCAGACCTTCCCAGTGTACATAAGGCATCTGAAGAAGTTCATATCGACGATCGAAAATATGCCTTTGGAGAAAGAATCATCATCAACCGAGAATGAGAAGCTGCTAGCCGAAACCGAAACGGCTTCCGATGGTTCTGCTCTCTCTGACGCTCCATGGACGACCTCACAGAGGCTAGAGCCACCGAGGAAGAGCACGAGGCATGAGCTGCCGCCTCGATTGAGCAATGATCGTGTCGATAAACGAAGGCGAAGCACGGGCCGCAGAGAGAAGCCAAGATCCATCGTGGAGAAGAAAGAAAAATCAAGGAGAAGTGTTGACACATTTGACAGGACGAGGGATGAACACGATCAGCCAGATAAACCAAGAAAAAGCATCGACAGGTTGGTTCTCTGAACAATTCTTCACTTCCACCATCATCATACAGAGTTGCAGTAATCATGTTACCTAAGTCATTTTTCCTAGTGAAGAAACTTTGGATGATAAATGATATTGCCGCAGATTTGTTGTGATTAAAAAGATGATAAATACTCTTGCCACAAACTGACATTGGTGTAAATTTTTGACAGGCTCGGAGAGATGATCAGATCGATGGGGCTCTGCAATGTTGATTGCTTCAAAGAGCCTCCTCGAAGCATCGAGACTAGCCGAGATCGGTGATCGATTCAGAGAGTGGCGTTGTGGCTGTAGCTAGTCTTCTCTCCCATGTTAGATGTCAACATTGGTCTGTGTGGTGTGTGCTCCGGATGATGATCAAAATCATAAACCATCTATGAACAGTAAAGAGAAATATAGCACGTCATTTTTTTGTTTTTTTTTTACTGCTGCCTCTCAATTTGAGTCCCTGTTAAATTCTTTTGTATTGCATTGCATTATTGTGTATGCCTCTCTGGTTTGATGGATTTCACACAAGTTTGACACGATTTCATCAGTTCCAAATATATGAATTTGACGTGAAGTAGTTCAAACTTCAAAATTTCAAATGGCCCCAAAGTCCTAAATGGGCCTTGAAATTAATAAGCCCAAACCCAAGCCCAAGCAGCGAGTTGGCCCATGAAAGTACTCTCACTGACAGGTGGCCCCACACTCTGCGGAGGAACCGAGGAAATGAGAACCAACCTCTCCTCGATCTCAATCCAGCCGTCCGATCCGCGGATCGAACGGTCAGAACGACCCAACCCCACACTCAAGCGCGACACTGCACTGCAGCGGCGGCTCGCTTCGACCGCTTCTAGAAGCTTCCCCCGTCGCCTCATCTCTTCCTCCTCCTCCTCTCCTCCTAAACCCGCAACAAAAAACCCTAGCAACTCCTCCACCCTTATCCTCTCCGCCTCGCCTCGGCTCGCCGCCGTGCAGCCGCCGCCGCGCTCTACTACTAGAGGTCTCACATGGCGCCTTCGCTGAGCAGGAGCCTGGGGGCGTCGTCGGTGGCGGCGCTGCGGCCGTGCGCGGGGAGGGTTAGGGCGCCGGGGGCGGGCGCGGCGCGGGGGAGCGGGTCGGCGAGGTGCGGGAGAGGGGTGAGGTGGGAGGCGGGGAGCGGGAGCAGGGGGAGACTGGTGCGGGTGAGGTGCGACGCCGCCGTCGCGGAGAAGGCCGAGGAGACGGCGGAGGAGGAGAAGTTCGAGTACCAGGCGGAGGTGAGTGACGACGGGTCGGGATGGCTTCGGGGTTGGATGGAAATAGTTTCTTCGCTGTTTGATTATGCTAGCATTTCACTAGAGTTACAGTAATGGAATGTTGTTATTATGAATTTATGATTCATCATTTTTCATCGTGAATTCGACATGTGGTGTGATGGACTTGTATAGCCCAATATAGTAACTGTTTAATCCCTTTTGTGCTGTGTAGGTTAGCCGCCTAATGGATTTGATTGTCCATAGCCTTTACAGCCACAAGGAAGTATTTCTTCGGGAGCTTGTGAGGTCAGTAGTAACTCTCGCCAAATGTAGTGTTTCATCAATAATAACATAGCCAAACGATAGTTCCATTTAAAAGCCTTTTAAAATTTGATCCCATGGCTCATCACTTTATGTGCTAACTATCGGGTGGGTGTTCTCAGTAATGCGAGTGACGCATTGGATAAGCTGAGGTTTCTTGGTGTGACTGATTCTTCTCTCCTTGCTGATGGCGGCGAGTTGGAGATAAGGATTAAACCAGACCCTGATGCAGGAACCATAACTATTACGTAAGTTATTCTCTAATAGTTGTGCTTTGTCGACTCGAACTGTTTAGTGCAGGTAGTTTACTAGTACAATCTTGTTATTGTTCTTATAGTGATACTGGCATTGGAATGACCAAAGATGAACTTAAGGATTGCCTTGGTACTATTGCTCAGAGTGGCACCTCAAAATTTTTGAAGGCTCTAAAGGTAGAGCATTGTTCCTTCCCTTTCTACTTTCTGAATATTTGTACCAATGTCTAGGCAATGTGTACTACCTGTGTGTTTGCTTCGTTGTTTCATTCCTAATACCAAATCAATCACAATCCAGGAGAATAAAGACCTTGGAGCCGATAATGGTCTGATTGGCCAGTTTGGGGTTGGGTTTTACTCAGCTTTTCTTGTAGCGGAAAAGGTATGAGACATTTTTTGGATGCTATCCTTGTAAAATATATTTCATGGAATATGTTTCTTTTTATTTTTTCATTGATCTTTTTCCCCCTAAATTATGTGTTTGCAGGTTGTGGTCTCCACTAAGAGCCCCAAATCAGATAAGCAATATGTATGGGAAGGTGTAGCTGACAGTAGCTCTTATGTCATCAAGGAAGAGACTGATCCTGAAAAAATGCTTACACGTGGCACTCAGATTACTCTCGTTTTAAGGGTGAGTTTGGTCTTTTCTATTTGTCGAAATGAATACCTTTTTATAACTAAAATCTCACATCTTCGTCACAAAAAAATGGAAACCTCATATTCTGTAACTATGCAGCCTGATGATAAGTTTGAGTTTGCTGATCCTGGAAGGATTCAAGGCCTAGTTAAGAACTACTCTCAGTTTGTGTCTTTCCCCATATACACATGGCAGGAAAAATCCAGAACTGTCGAGGTAAGGCCTTGGTGGTTTTTTCTTGCTAATTCTCTTAACATGCATCTTACAAGTTCTTTAGAGCTACTATTCTTGATTCCTTTCAGATTTCTTTCACTGATGTGACCTCCTTGCTTGACAGGTTGAAGAGGATGAAGAGGCAAAAGAAGGTGAAGAGGCGAAAGAGGTTAGTTATCTTGGATGATCTGCTTCTAATTTCTTATCCTTATATTGACTTTGTTCTTTGAAACTGATTCGCATCCACCTATAGGGTGAACAAAAGAAAAAGAAGACAATTACTGAGAAATACTGGGATTGGGAGCTAGCCAATGAAACAAAGCCTATATGGGTAATTTTATCTTTGTTACTTCCATTGCACACAATTTGCAGTCTTTGAACCTTACCTATTTGGTATTCTATCTCCCAAAAAAAATGCATGTGAGGTGCTATCCACTGTTTAAGGAAGCAGATAGTTGAATCATATTCTCTGTGTGCAGATGAGAAGTCCAAAGGAAATTGAGAAAACAGAATACAATGAATTTTATAAGAAGGCATTCAATGAGTTCTTAGATCCTCTGGCCTACACTCACTTCACAACAGAGGTACATGAATTTGTCAAACATCACTTCACTTAACTTAAGTGCATGGAATATTGTTTATGACATGATATTTTCTGCTACCAGGGTGAGGTGGAATTTAGGAGTGTCCTTTACATTCCAGGAATGGCTCCGCTTAGTAATGAGGAGATAATGAATCCAAAAACTAAGAATATCCGGTTATATGTCAAAAGAGTATTTATCTCTGATGACTTCGATGGTGAACTGGTATATTATCTCTCAGTCCACAAGATAGTTGCTTGTGAATATGCATTTGTGTTGTCCTTCCTTGATTGTCTATTTGATTAATAGAACAAATTTCTGAGTTTAGCATTGCATTTTGCAGTTCCCCAGATACTTGAGCTTTGTAAAAGGTGTAGTTGATTCAAATGACCTTCCCCTCAATGTTTCTCGTGAGATTCTTCAGGAGAGTCGAATAGTAAGTTAATAAGAAATGCATGCCAGCTCTTATATTTCAAATTACATACAAGGAAAGTTATCATTGTTGATCTTCCTATGGGCATTTCGAGATAATTTATGTTGTTTATTAGGTAAGAATTATGCGAAAGAGACTTGTTAGGAAGACATTTGATATGATTGAGGAGATTTCTGAAAAGGATGACAAGGAGGTAAAAACTCGTAGCTACCCTGTCCCCTGAGTTTTTATGTTTGAATACGTGTTGAAGCCTTGTCATATGTACTGCAGGATTACAAGAAGTTCTGGGAGAGCTTTGGCAAGTTCATCAAACTTGGTTGCATTGAGGACACCGGAAATCACAAGCGTCTTGCACCTCTGCTGCGTTTCCACACTTCTAAAAATGAGGGAGATTTGATAAGTCTTGATCAATATGTAGAAAACATGCCAGAGAACCAAAAAGCAATCTATTACATTGCTACAGATAGTCTCCAGAGTGCAAAGACTGCTCCTTTCCTAGAAAAGTTGGTTCAGAAAGACATTGAAGTATGAACACAACATAATACCGATGAGACAAGAACTGTCATTCTTGCTTCCACTTAACTCATGTTGCTGTTTTTTTTCCCTCTTTAGGTTCTCTACCTCATTGAGCCAATAGATGAGGTTGCCATTCAGAATTTGCAGACCTATAAAGAGAAGAAGTTTGTTGATATCAGCAAAGAGGACCTGGAGTTGGGTGAGGACTGAGGAAGTGTTTGAAATTTGCTCTGGATACAGTTTTTCATGGCTATCTGCATCACTCTAATATATATTTGTTTGCACAGGTGATGAAGATGAGGACAATAAGGAAAGCAAACAGGAATACACTCTTCTGTGTGACTGGGTAAAACAGCAGCTTGGTGACAAGGTAGCAAAGGTTCAAATATCAAAGCGCCTCAGTTTGTCACCATGTGTTCTTGTATCTGGCAAGTTTGGTTGGTCTGCCAACATGGAAAGGTATTTCCTGTACGATTAAATCATTGTGTTGTACTATGCTTGATTTCTAACGCATATTTTTCAACAATTCAGACTCATGAAAGCACAAACACTTGGGGACACATCAAGCTTGGAGTTCATGAGGGGTAGAAGGATTTTCGAAATTAACCCTGACCACCCTATTGTCAAGGACTTGAATGTAAGATTTGTTGCTTATCATCAGTAATTGATGTACCCATTTCTACATAAGCAATAATTAACATGAATGAGAAACAATTGTTGGCAGGCTGCCTGCAAAAATGAGCCTGAAAGTACAGAAGCTAAGAGGGCTGTTGAGCTGTTGTATGAGACTGCTCTGATCTCCAGTGGATATACTGTAAGCAAAACACACTCATTATATTTCATTTCTTGGTCATCATGAACCTTACCATTTGACTGTTTGTTTACTTGGAATGTCCAGCCTGACAGTCCTGCGGAGTTGGGTGGTAAGATCTATGAGATGATGACAATTGCCCTTGGCGGGAGATGGGGGAGGTCAGACACCGAGACTGAAGCAGCAACCACTGGTGATGCCAGCACAGAGACAGGCTCATCTGAAGCCACGGTGACGGAGGTGATTGAGCCTTCTGAAGTGAGGCCTGAGAGTGACCCATGGAGGGATTAATAAGTGAGTTCTCTTGGGCATCCTTTGTTAGAACTTCAGAAATAGTTGCTATGGGATATAATCATGGTTTAAAAACATGATTTTGTCATAGATATTACTTGGGTTGTTACCCAGCATTTTTGTAGGTGCAGTAGAGTCTGTAGACTCATTGGCCACCTCTATCTATTGGAGGGGGTGGTCTTATCAATAAAACATGAAAAATAATCAGTACAATACAAATGTCCCTTTGTTGTTTTCTATATTTATGCAGTTTTTACTATCAATTTACATTGTGGAGATCAATGCTTAAGCCTAATATTCTTGCGCTACACATTTTGAAGAAGCATTTTGTCTAGTAAGAAAAGAATATCAAAATGCAAGATAAACAAATGATGCATTCTTACTGTCTCAAAATTTCAACTGTTGACCTATTTAGGCATCATCGTTATGATAGAATCTGTATGTTATTACTCTCAGCTGTTGCGATTTAAGTTGGCGAGATAAACCCAATATCCAAATGGTCAATGGAGCTCACAGGATGTTTAGCATAAATCAAAATTTGATTTTTAGGACTGCCTAAGATTATCTATTGTGATCATGTCCCATAAAATCTCACAGCCAAAGGACCACCAGAACAGAAAACAAACTCTGAAAGGAAGGTATACTCAATATGAAAAAAAAAGGGGCAATTGCGAAAAAAAAATGATGCATAAGCATTAAATTTCATGCTGAACAGTTGTATTTCAGTGTTTCTATCAAACATTGCTTTTCGCTGCTACTTGGAAGGAGCCACAAAAAACAAGATATGCATCCCAATGCGATTCAATTGCTCGCATCAAATATTTGGACATCCATTTTTTGTCACATGCACAGATATATTTTCTTCAGTTCTTTTTTTCCGTCCTATGTCAGAGGAGTTTCTAGCTATCATGGATTGCAGTTCTAGCTGTCCAGTTCAGTGAAGCTTCAGTTCTGATATTTGATCACAGCTACACCCCATGTACTGAATCTATGGGAAACCTCTTCCCTTCCCATTGGAAGTCAGATTGCAGCTGGTCACTTGCTCAGGCAACTAGAATTGCAATTCTGAATTGCTCAGCAGCAGTAATTCCTATGCACATGCTGTTTGTGCTTGTCACTCCATCTGCTTTCTGATCAGAATAAACCTGCTTCATCCATGTTGCTGCAATTCACATGTGAAACCCATCTTGATCTTGCCTGATGCTTAGCTCTTCTGAACTCATGACCTGTGGATACGGCATTTGTGCGGTGTTACGGAATGATCCATCCAAAGTCTGATGCATCTGTTCAAGAATCAGAGAGCCCATCAGATGATCACGTTTGCAATGAGTGTAGAATGGTGAACAGTATGTGTTTGTCTTGCAAACTGCTACTGTACTACAACCTCCTTTCTAAAATATGCATTTTTTAGCTATGTATATCTCCTTATCCAGATTCCAGATACATAGCTAGAAATTGTTATATTTTGGGACAGAGAGAGTATATAATAATATGAAACTAGATGAAACTGAATGGTATTTGGCTGGCCTAGTTCTTTCTAATGGCTTAAACCTTCCTGTATAACTTAGCCGAAGTGATACTAACAAATAACAATGGCATGTATCAGATGCAAACCTGAGGCTCTCTGAATGCTCCCTTGTCATTTTGCTGCTGCTTCTGCATGAGGCTGGTGAACACATCTGGATTGATCATGCCATGGACACCTCCCTGAAGGATGCCCGGTCGTGATAATTGTAGCCCCGGCATCATCTCCGTGGAGAAGGAGAATCCCATGGGAGCAGAGGAAGGCTGCCCGGGAAAACGAAGAACCTGAAATCATCAAGAAATATGATGAACTTGTCGCACACATTTCTGAATTTCTGATTTCTCGCGAAGCAAACTGAAGAAGAAAAACAGAGAGGAGGAAGGGAAGATGGTTCAAGTTCCATACATCCTTGGAATTGTTGACAAGTGATTCAATGTCGAGATCGATTCTTGGGTTGACTGCCGAGAGCTTCATCGACAGAAACTGCAGAGATGGAAAGTGAAAACCGAATATCAGTGTTTGCGTTGTGCTTTGTCAGGTGAAATTGCAGTCATTCCCTGTGGATGATCATGTCAGTACCTCGACTTGTCTTTGCAGGGACTGAACATAGTTGATGATCTCGTCGAGCATCAACGCCTTCCCGGTGACCTAATCGAATCAAATTCAGAAACACAAATTACCATCCATTCTTATGAAATTCACATATGATTCAGAAACCTTCGCACTGTAGCTTCAGTTCTGGGTTAGAATGCTCACTTTGCTGCAGCCAGGGACAAGGTCTTGCAGGAGCTTCATCCTCTCGCTGATCTTCTCCCTTCTCAGCTGCCAAGAAACATAACACCACAATCTTCAATTATTTGACTCATAGTTCAGGTGATCAGTTTGAAGAAATTTGTAAATATTACTGTTCTCTTCCCCCCAAAAAAAATATTTAAAAAAATTTGAAACTGTTCAAATTTTGTATGTAGGGTATACCCTCTCTGCTAAGCTGTGGTTGTTGGTTGCCTGCCCCTTCCGAGCTCTGACATGGCTGTACCCTTCCTTCTGCGCCTCGCCGGCGTCCTTGGCTCCCTTCCCTTTCGACTTGCCGCCGGCCGCCGCCGTCGCCGGCGGGCCGATCACTTCGCCGTTGACATCTTTGCTACACTCGGTCTCGTTCCCAGAATCGGCAAGCGCGTTCGATGCGTTCGCGTGATCCGTTCCAGCAATCTTGCAAATGCCGGTGCAAGCAATTGTGCAAACGATTCATCAAGCTTTTTATTAAGAATGTTTTGATCGATGCGATGAGACGGGGAGCAAGTGAGTGTGTACCTCGTCTGATCTCCTCTTCTTGGACTCCGACGAGCAGTCACCGGCCGGCTCGACGATGCCGCCGGAGTTGACCGGGAAACTGCCGAAGCCGCCGCGCACGGCTGCCGGTGGCAGCAAGAAGCCGGCGCCGCTCGCCGCCGTGGCAGCGCCGGTGCTCGGCGAGACCGTCGACGACCACGCGAGAGAATCCATCGCCGGCTGTTGCACCGGCGGCGGCGCCGCAGCGCACGAGCTGCCGCCGCTCATCTGGCCGCCATGCCATTGCCAAGCCATCGCCATGCCACCATGGACAGCCGAAGCGTTGCTCTCTACTCCAAACCCATTGCCGCCATTAGCATCCATCGCCTTGCTCCCTAACCAATCAAACAGAGAGACTCCAGGAGAGAGAGAGAGAGAGAGAGAGAGATGTTGTAAGTGTTCTTGATTTTATAGCCAGTTTGCTGCATCCAGCGACATGATTTTTACAGCCTAGGAGATCGAGGGTAGTTTTGAGTTTATTACTACCCCCTGCCTTTACCATTTCTTGGTAGCAAAGTACAGTAAAAAGTAGAAACAAACCCTTTAATCATGCTGTTTTAACCTTTGCTTTAGCTTGCTTACTCACTAATTACCCCTGCCATCTTCTCATCTGGGCAAGTGGCATCATCCTCACTCAAGTTTCTGACAATGCCAACTATCACAGGCTTTGTTTAATCTGATGCCTTTCTGAAGCCTTGCTGTAAATCAAGTACCATTCTCTCTCATCATCGTTTGACCACCACTGTCATGTCGGTACAGTTACTTTAGTACAGTTATTATTGGACACGAACAACTGTCTACACCTTCGTGATCAACATGATCACTCGTACTAGTTTTCTTCCAGTGACAGGTTCGTCGCAAAGAAGGGTGCGGGTCACTTCGCGGATAATCATTTTAGTCATTTTATTGAACGTTAACACGTACTCCCTCCATTAAAAAAATTCCAATCCTGAAGATGTATCTAAACATACATATAGTCTAGATACATCCTCTGAATTAAGTTTTTTTTGGCAGAGGAGTACGAGAAATTAAAACCTTATTCACTTATTGTCAAAATCAGCCATACCAAAATTTGTTAATACTGAATTTTGATACATTTTAGTATCATTAAATTTTGGTAGCATTGGTTTTATTTGGTTTGATGTCTTTGCAAAATTATGGTAGAGTTTTAAGAGATGAAGTTTCTAGAGCTGCCAAAATTTGATAATGTAGCAATGGTTGAAATGTGTTTAGTTTATTGTCCGATTGATAATGTAAAAATTTAGTCAGATTAAAAGTGGCAATAAACTAAATACTCCCTCCATCCCAAATTGATTATCATATATGTTTATATGTTTATGTACCAAGACCAAAAGTTAATTTAAATTGTATCAATCAAGACACATGTACACATTCTCTCATTATGCATGCATTGATTAAAACACCATGCCAATTACACCTTAGCATATACACATTTTCTCATGTCGCATTAATTATATTTCGATGAAATATGTGTCCATACGTTTATATGATAATTAATTTGAGAAATTTTGAATTCTATTATATGAATATTAATTTGGGAAAGAGTGAGTAGGTCGTAAGAAAAATGCAATTTTACATGCTTAGAATTTCCAAACTAAAGCATCACATCCATTGATCATGGAAGCAAATTGCAAACACCTAATGCTTATAGTACAACTAGTGTACTCCAATTAAGGTAACCAACCTGAGAGCCTTTAGATGCTCTTCTGATTCCCCCAACCTCACTCTAACCCTAAACTAAACTATCATTAGCCTCGGGGTTCGCGCCACCCCGAATCAAGCCTTTTGATTGGCAAAGCAAAGCCAACCAAATGCAATTCTTTTTATCCACCCCAGACACGCTTTTGCCCAGCCACGGTAATTACCAGGGGCACTTACCCCTCTTAACCCCATTTTTTTACCGCACAGTAATCCTGTCCTCCTCACTGACAGTAATCCTACCTAAGTTGCACATTGTCACTTTGCAAGGAGTGAAATGCAAGTCACCCTGTACTACTGCCTAACAACACATTGTCCACCTTTTATTCTTCTAGGCATGGAGTACTTCACCTTTCGGTGAAGACACTGTTCTGAATCCTTTTCGCCTTTCTTCTTCCTCCCTCTTCCTCGCAACTGCCTTTCTCTTACCCGAGTCCGGCTGATAACCGTCGGGCTTGGGTAAGAGGGGGGGATTACAGGTGGCTCTTACGAAAAACGCTTTGCGAAATGCGTGTAAACCGTGAGGTTATTCTTCTAGGCATGAAGTACTTCACCTTTCGGTGATGACACTGTTCTGAATCCTTTTCGCCTTTCTTCTTCCTCCCTCTTCCTCGCAGCTGCCTCCCTCTTACCCGAGTCCGGCTGATAACCGTCGGGCTCGGGAAAGAGGGGGGGATTACAGGTGGCTCCTGCGAAAAACGCTTTGCGAAATGCGTGCAAACCGCGAGATAAAGATGAAAAGGACGTGACATCGAACTCACCCCTCTCGACACGAACATTGCAATGCAGCTGGTTTTTACAGGGTTCTTGGGCAACATGATTAAAGCGTCCCCTGTGCAAAATGGGCGTCTTTAGCTTTATCAAGAAAATCACCCGGCCTGAAGCAAACGGGAGTGAGTGTCAGGCCCCCAAGATACGATCTTTTATCGTCGTCGTCGTCAGAATCTTCAGAGTTCAGAGAAAAACACATACTCACACACACGAATACACGATCAGTTCAGCTCATCATGATCCATCTGTGACTGTAAAGAGAAGAGACAAGGGAGTTCGTGCTAAGTTCTTCGAAAGGCGCAGCGAGAAGCGAAAGAGCAGTTGATCAGAGCAGCTGATTGGGTCATTACCGAGAAGATGGAAATGATTAGTCAAAATATTCAGAAGGAGCAGTTCAGGACACAGCGTTATCAAACAGAGACTACAGGACATGTTGATTAGTGTAGGCCTGCCTTGCTCAGCTGAGCTCGTTAAAAGAGAAAAGATGAGCAATTACCTGATTTGCTCCAGGAGCTTCTCTTTACTAACAATGTTTATACTCTTTATGGCAAGGTTTGTAGTTTAAGATGGGTAACTGAAGAGTAAAAATTCAGCATCTTGTGTGCCAATGGAGAAACAATTTGGCTCCAATAGTAAATTTTAGTGGTACTAGATACTAGTACAATTTGTGGAGAAATACTGAAATGTGTAAACTTGAGCAGGCATAAGCTGAACAGGCCTATTTTGCAGAATCTGGAAACCTGATAGATTGAGATTGTTTGGACCCTTGCCAGTGAAATGACAGGGCCCAGGAATGAGACCGCCATCGCGGATCCTGTTTCTGTGCCCCATTGCTAGAATAAGTTTCATGGCGCAAGCTGTAATGCAATTACAAAAATAAACTCTGATAAGAGATTCAGTCATGATCTTTGTAACAATACAATAATAAAATTCTAGTAGTACTAGATACTACTAGTACAAATTGTGGAGAAATACTGAAAGGAATGTGTAAACTTGAGCAAGCATAAGCTGACCATCTTTTGTATAATCTGGGAGCCTGACAGATTGAGATTATTTGGGCCCTTGCCAATGAAATTGCAGGGCCCAAGAATGAGGCTGCTGTGTCAAATTCCAATTTTGTGCCCCAGGGCTAGAATAAGTTGCAATCTGTAATGCAATTACAAGCACAAAATAAACTATGAAAGATTTTAGACATGATATTTGTAATGATATATCAATGAAAACATTATGAAATACTTCTAAGAAACATCTAATTGCATTTGTTCTCAAGATGCTGATTCTATATGCATGAAGTTAATGGTCAAGGTCTCCTGAAGTTTGATCTCAAGGATCACAGGAAGACCTAATGACCTATATTTAGTGGTAAGGAAATTAATGCATTGTAAGGCTATTTAGCATGTATGCTTGTGCCTGCACATATGAATTGTAAATTTGTAATAGCAAAATATTTTGTGACAAAAGATAACTTTTCTTTAATTGAAAATTTCATTGCAAAAGAGTATCTCAGAACAATCTTGGTAAGTACCCACTCCGTCCCAAAATAACTTCACTTCTAGCCTCAGCCATTTGTTCCAAAATAACTTCATTTGCACCCTCTTACCAACCATTTACCCACCCACCCACGCAGGGGTGAAAACAGAAGGAGTAATAGACAAACTACAGCATCATTTCAGTTGTTTCAGTCTCTAGCGATGCTGTAAGCCTGTAACCCAAAAGAGAACAATCTGTACAAATCTTATAGAATTCCAAAATTCAAAGCCTCTGTTCTGCACTAGTTGAGAAATCTCATTGAATCTCAAAACCTTTTGATAACCGAGAAGCTGGACCTCAAATTCTCAAAACCTGGACAGGTGAAATCTGATGGATAGTATAGGAGAGGTATATTGCGTAACGTGAGACACTTTGTATTGAGCCTCAGGGGGCCGATATATATAGGAGTACATGGGGAGGAGATAAGGAAGGATTACAGATATGGAAGGAGTCCACACAAACCAATCCTATCCTAATATAACTCTAACTACCATATACTCTAACATCCCCCCGCAGTCCAAGCGTGAGCAACGCGGACACTTGGACTGGAGAAGAAACCGGCAAGAGTGCTCAACACGGATGATAGCCCTTTGTGCCATTGTCGACGTAGCCAAAGCGAAGGAGCCGAGAGAGCCGTGGTCGATGAAGCCATGCGTATAGTAGCCGTGGTCGATGTAGCCGAAGTCAGGAAGCTGATGTTGAGGTAGTCGAGCCGCAGGGAGCGCATGAGGCGCCGTAGAGTGGTCGTGGATGCACAGGAGGGCATCGTGGACCAATGGTGCGCGAAGACACGCTAGAGACGAAGACGGTGACACAATCACGGCGATCGTGGAGGAAGATGACGCCGAAGAGCTGATGTAGTCGAACCGTGAAGGACGAGACGTCACGCCGGGTTTGCCAAACCCGGGGACAACTCGGGATGAATGCGCGCAACGGTGTTGCCAATACCGCATAGGCGAGGTAGGGGACCACCATGAACCATACGCCAATATCGGAGGGGACTAGCAGAGAAGGCCTCCGAGACGGTCGCGGCACGAGAACGGCATAGAGGGAGAATTGCCGGAGCAGCACGCGGTTGCCGGAGAAGAGCGAAGTGTAGTCGAGAAAGATACGGCGACGCTGGCGATGATTAAGTTGCATGCACCAGCCAATTGCACCTAAAAGCCTAAGCTGATAGGGAAAGACGGGCAATTCACTTTATACACTCCAACACTCCCCCTCACGCGAGACCCCCTCAAGTCTCAAGCGTGGAATATTGGAGTGGGCTGCAATTGTTTTATTTAATTGCGCGCCAGTCAGGATTCGAACTCGAGACCTCTGGTTCTGATACCATATTAAGTTGCATGCACAAGTCAGTTGCACCTAAAAGCCTAAACTGATAGGGAAAGACGGGCAATTCACTTTATACACTCCAACAAAATCTGTTATGGTTGCCAACTCAAGGCAGAAATTTTCTAAGCCAATCTCATTATCGTCCAAAGTACTAATGATTCCTCGTATAGTACACCATAGTTGATGAGTCCCTCTCACCAGCTAATCCAAGAGTCATCAACTAAAATAAAATATTCCACTCCTGCCAAAATTGCAAATTAAAGGGGCATGCAACTTGATAGAGAAAACATGAGAGCCAAGTTTATTAAAGTTAAGCACACATTTTTATTGCTTTCTGAAGTAAAATTGCAGCTCAAATGTCCACATCACACGTTTGCCCACTCACACACTTAGTCATCAGTTCAGCACAACATTTTATTATTTGCTAATAACACTTTCTGGCATGTACGTGTATTACAAACCCGACGTGATGAAGATAAAATATTGAATTGACAAAGATTCAAAGTTAGCATGTGCTAGCCGAGTACACCTGTACCGAATCATAACAAAAAAAATTCAAACCTGTAAGGCACCTTACCACCCGTCTGCCATGTGCAAGGCTTTTGACGAAGCCCAGATTGTTTAGATGATCCGTCGCAACATCCTGCTGCTAGTTGCGTTGCACTAACTCAAAATTCTTGTATCCTCCTCTTGATTCCTGGGATTTTTTTTATTCTTGTAAATTATGTGTTGTGAACTTTTCTTTCTCCCATCTTTTAATGAAATCGGCATAGCTCCTGCCCTTACCCCTCGGAAAAAAAATGTAAGCCCAACAAAGGATACCATTCCGTCGAGAAAATGCGAATTATTGTTAGCCCATGAATTGTTGGTATTTTTCATTTTAATGTTATAAAAACAAATACTCCATCCGTTTTTAATATTTAATGTCGTTGATCTTTTAAGATTTAAAAGATTCATGTAAATATCATTTTATTGTGACTTGATCTATTGTCAAATTTTCTTTAAGCAATAATCTTCTCAATAATATCAAACTGAACCAAAGGACATCAGTTAAACTCTAAAGATTAACAAATGAAAAAACAAACTTTACTCTTAAATTGCACTAGGTAGATTGTAACACGTTTCATTTTACACAGGTTTAACACTAGAATACATCATCAAACATATAGAAATTTCACAAAATCAGAATGAAATCCCATGAAATATGGTCTAAATTCAAAAAAAATCAATAATTTTTACTTAGATTTTACAATATTTTCCTTTAATTACAGAGTAAACTTCACAAAACTACAAATTTATTACGATGTATCACAAAACTACAAATTTAACACTAAAATTATCATAGAATTACATATTTAGGTGAAATATCACAAAATTACATATTTAGTAACAAAGTTATCACAAAACTACAGGTTTTATATCAATTTAATCACAAAATTTGAACATTTATAACTCAAATAAAACATTGGAGCTAAGGATTTAAACTCTAAAATCTATAGTTCTATGATAATTTTATTATTAAATTTGTAGTTTTATAATACTTAGCCTTAAACCTGTAATTTTATAATAAATTTATTGTTAAATATGTAGTTTCGAGATAATTTGACCCAAGTATCCGTAATTCTACGAAATTTACTCTTAATCATATGACACAGCATAATGCCGAAGTGAAACTTATTTTAAGAAATGGAGTATAATTTACTCCTTAAAAAAATACTCTACACAACCAAGGCGTATCACCGTATAGTCAACCGTCCAACCCAACAGCTACCAGGTAACGAACGGTTTGCTCGCCTCCGCCCCAGACGCTGCCCCGCTCAGCGTCCTCCCTTGGTTGCGTTGCGTCGCTGTTCTTCCAGCCTGTCACACGCGCACATGACAAGCAACCACCCAACCCTTCTTCCCCTTTGCTCCGCTCACACTGCACAGCGCCACCACACTGCCCCCCACCTCCCCAAACCGTACCCACCACCATCTCTTCTCTCACTAACACCTCGGGACAAAAGCACACGGCCCCACCTGTCATTGCCCCAAAAGTACAGAGAACACATAGGGCCTATTTAGTTCGCCTAAGGGAAACTTTTGGCGTGTCAGATTAGATATACGGACACATATTTAAAGTATTAAATATAGACTAATAATAAAATAAATTACAGATTTTATCTAGAAATTAGGTGATTAATTTATTAAACACAATATTGCCAAATCATGATGCAATTAGGCTTAGAAGATTTGTGTCACAATTTACACACAATATTTAATATTCCATGCATATGTCAATCAGACTGGGTGAAAAAATTTTGTTTGGTAGCTAATCAGGCCCCAAAAAAAAACGCGAGCACTTTTAATTTTCTGCTCCCGCACGACACAGCCCCGACAGGCGAGACACGTAACCATCACGCCACTGACGAGTGGGACCCACCACCAACCACTGGTTCTTTTATAATCCCCCACCATCGGGTGGCCCCACTCGTCAGCGACGAGGGTCGTCTCGTCGGTCGCCGTTCCAATCTACTACGTACCACGAGAGTTTCACTAGCAGAATTAATTTTTATTTTTATTTTATTTTATTTTATTTAGGGGAGCTATAATAGCAAGCGGCTCGCGAGACGCTAATCCAGGGCGCGATTTTTTCGTTCCCCTCTCTATCTCTCGCGTCCATGGCGTCCTCGTCTCTCCTCGTCCGGCTCGCCTCCGACGAGATGCCCCAAACCCTAGATGCGTCGTCGTCGTCTTCGTGCTACGACGCCTTCGTGCCGGTGTTCCACCCGGATCCGTCGTCGGGGTTCTCGGCGGCGTCGGTGGTGGCGGCCGCCGACCGCCTCCGCAGCCAGTTCCTCTCCGTGGAGCCCGACCTCTTCCACGACGCGCTCGTCGCGCCAAGCCCCGACCACCTCGGCTTCCCCGATGAGGAGGAGGAGGAGGAGATCCGGTGGGATTGCCTCCAATTGGATGACGACGACGAGGAGGAGGAGGGGGTGGCGGATCTGCGGCTTGAGGCCTCCAACGCGGCGGAGGAATTCGATTGGGAGGAGGTGGCATCGCCCTCCGGCGGCGCCGGGATGGATCAGCCGGAGCCCGAGTGGGAGGTCCTCGCCGACGTGCCGCCGCCGCCGCCGCCGCCCGCCGACGAGGGCTTCGTGTACACCTCCGACCGTGACGTGTACGAGGTGCTCGTCGGGGAGGGTTTGTTCCTGAAGAGCAAGCCGCCCGCGGCGAGGTCGGCCGTCGAGGCGCTACCGTCCGCCGTCGTCGCCGCCGGCGAGGACGGCGAAGGGGAGGAGTGCGCGGTGTGCAGGGACGGCGTCGCCGCCGGGGAGCGCGTGAAGAGGCTGCCCTGCTCGCACGGTTACCACGAGGAGTGCATCATGCCGTGGCTCGACGTGCGCAACTCGTGCCCGCTCTGCCGCTTCGAGCTGCCCACCGACGACCCCCAGTACGAGAGCTGGAAGGCCTCGCGAGCTGCGGCTGCCTGAATTGCTGCGCGGTAAAAAAAAAAGGCAAGCCTTTCTTTTCTTGCACAGATTTTATAGAGTTGTATGTCTTGGGTTTCAAACTGGTACTATGATGAAAGAACCAAACTGGTATGATGAAAGAAAGCGTAGAGGTAGTCGCAGAGATGGTTTTGCACCTTTCGATTTGTTTACTTTTTTTCTTAAAAGAGGGATTTGTGTTGTGACTTAAGGTTGCGAGGATATTACATAAGTTTATCCTATATATATACTGTTGTATTTATTCTGAATTTGTAGAGTAGCTTCTGTATTACATTTTGCCCTGCAGCACAATTTTGTAAATGGATATGGTGGTGAAAATTTCAGCATGTGGGTGTTCCTGATTCAACTCTAATGAGTTTTATTTTTCTGACTTATTTGTTGCAAATTCATAACAACGTGATTAATTATGTGTGTGAGTTTCCATTTCATGTTGTGTTCTACACCTATACTGTTCTTAGGGACAGTGTTATTGGCAGAAATATTCTGGAAAAAAATGAGCTATTTCTAATTTATCCTCTAGCAGATGGGAGAAATATTTGTTGCTAGGAGTTGGGATTACTTTGATTAATTTCTTGCGTACTCAATGTGACATTGTTTTATGTCCTTTGTCCTTCTTGTATTTGACTTTGGTGATCAAAATTGCGTTCCCTTTTATAATAAAAAAAATCAATCATTAGCACTTATGAGAGTCTAATCAGTAAGATGGTAATTGACCTCGCAACCTGCTAATCTCTGTGTCTGAACCAATGAATTGGCTTTGTTTCATAAAAAAAATATGGTGGAGATTCATATATAACTCTATTAAGATGCTAATGCCATCACCAGTATTTTGGATATGTCTATTTAACATTCACCATTTAAATCAAGTTGTTTTTGCTTCCATGACGATCAACAATGCTTTTTCTTTCTTTTCTCTTTCCCCACTATATTGATTCATGACCCATTAAGAGCAGGACTAATTATTTGTGTGAGTGGCAATTTGTATTGTGTTCTTAGGGACAATGTTACTAACTGAAATGTTTTGGGCAAAAGGAGAGTGATTTCTAATTTGTTCTCTAGAGGATGAGAAATATTTGTTGCTAGTGTTTGTGATTGTTTTGATTAATTTCTCGCATGGTAAGTTCTGACTATATAAGTAGGAGTCTTAGTTGTACAGGAAGCTAACTTGGAAGTACTCCCTCCGTTTCACAATGTAAGACTTTTTAGCATTGCCCACATACATATAGATGTTAGTGAATCTAAACACATACATATATCTAGGTTCATTAACATCTAAATGAATATAGGCAATGCTAGAAAGTCTTACATTGTGAAACGGAGGAAGTATGAAACATTTCACTCAGTTGGCACTCTTTTAGGCCCTTTTTTTGTTCTGACTTTCTTGAGTGAATGTGGTCTTGTTGTTTTTGCTGGAAAGAAAAAATCAACCATCAACAGTTATCGCAGTTTAATAAGATGACAATTGACCTTGCCTCTCACTAATCTCTGGGTATATTAACCCAGTATTGAGTCTCGAGCAATGAATTATGCAAGAGATTCTCATAAAACTCCATTCAGACACCACCTTTATCGCCAGTATTTTTTGGATATGTTTATTCAGTACTCACCATTTAAATCAAGTTATTTTTCCACTTCCAGGATCATCACCAATGTTCCTTTTCTTTCTCTGTTCCCAACAAATATTGATTCACAACTAATTAACAGTTAGTGTCAAAATGTAATTTCTTCTTCCGCAAAATTGTAGTAGCAGGTAATTCTCCATGAATCAACGCACAATCCACCATCATACAAATTTCACTTCTAGAGTCCATTCATTAACTAGTCCTTGTGCAAAAATGTAACAATTTCTTTTCTGAGGAATTTGTTAAAGAGATTGAAGGCCACAATAGGTGTGCCGTGCCATATGAAATTTTAAGTGTTGGTGATATATTGGCACGGGTACTGCCAGTTCTTCAGTTGAGATGGCAACATGCTTACTTGTAACTCAAACAGGAAGAGTGCTCTTCTGCAGTTCACATGTCAGTAAGGTATCCTTTTGACATCTGGGCATGTGTAAATGATGCTTAAAACTAAATTATTCATCCAATTTCGTGATGATGGATTGATCTCTGTGCTGATCAAATTGGTTCTTGCTTAATTACAGGGGAAGGTGCTGATTGAGGGAGAGACCGGACTCGTCCCAAATTGCTTCTTGCTGGATGGATGAACTTCATCTTCATCTCATCCAGATGTGCTCTGGTTCTTTTGTGTTGCTTTTATCATGTCCATGCCATGTGAATTAAGATCTGATTTGCCTTTTGCATAGTGCAAGTAGTAGTAATAATTTACCAATTAGTAGCTAAGTATTAGAATGCGAAACTTCTTGTTGCGTCGTGGCACGGATGTATCTGTGGCTGTGCGAATTCCTAGGAAAAAGTACACCGAAGGTTGCGTCGTGGCACGGATGCTATCTGTGGCTGTGCGAATTCCTAGGAAAAAGTACACCGAAGGTCCCTCAAGTTGTAAACCAGATACAAAATCGTCACCCAACCGCAAAACCGGATATCTGGCGTCCTCCAACTTATAAAACCTGTCACAATAGATCCCTTGGCGGTTTTAACCCCGGTTTTATTTCACGTGGCGGCTGACTCAGCGTGGGACCTATGTAGGCCCCACATGGGTCCCACATGTCAGATAAACCACGTCACCGCCCTTTCTCTTTTTCCCCTCTTCTCTCCCTTTCTCTCCTTTTTCCTCTGGGCGTGGATGGCGGCAGCGTCTTCGACGCAGCGTGGAGGAGGGCTGACGTGGCCGGCAGCTGACGGGGAAGGAGCGGCGCGGAGAGGAGGGCTGATGGGACGGGCGGCGCCGCTGATGGCTGCCGTCGCGCAGGGAGGAGTGCGGCGGTCGTCGTCGGGGTGAGGCGGCGACGCACGGTGGCGCGGGCGGCGCGGCTAACAGCTGGCGAAGGAGGAGCGCGACGGAGAGGAGGTCCGACGGCCGATGCAGCGGCGGGGAAGAGGGTCGACGCGGCCGACAGCGGAGAGGAGATCTAGCTGTCACTGTAGCCGCTGATGGAGATGGCGAGGCGGCCGCCGCGCGCTGGTGCCCTTGGCCAGCTCCGGCCGGTGGTGGTGGTTCTCCCACTGCCAGTAGCCGGTCCGGTAGAGGCGACAAAGGAAGGGGAGATCGAAGATGACGGCGCCGCCGATGTGGTTGCCGTTTGGCGGGGCGGAGCGGCGGGAGACCGCGGCGGCGGAGCTGGAGCCACACGCGCGACAACTCCCTGATCGCCGCTGGCCAACTTGCGCAGTCGCGAACAAGGAGAGCTACGCCTTCACCTGCGCCTTGCGAGGACGATGGTGATGAGTTCGATCTCCGGCCGCCGCCCCGCCGCGTGCATGAGCTGGAGGAGGTGCCCGGCGAGTTTCGGCAGTTGAGTTTCGTCTGTGCTTGGAGGGGTGGTGGCATGAGTTTCAGCATTTGCTTGCGACGGCGAGCTTGTCCTTGGCTTGGAGCTGGCGGCGGAGGTCGTGCCACACATGTATGCTTCACTTGATCCACTACCAGCTGCATGCACAAAGCTAACCAGCCGATAGACTTGCTCCACTAGCTCATGCAACACATGCACGTACTAGCATAGCACAAAGCCTTAGCTAAGTAACTAACTAATTAATCATGCATGCAGCGTTGGCGATGCCGTCGTGCATGACGACGCCAATAGCACGAGGCGGATGACGGTCAACCTGATGGCGCCGTCGTTCTTGGCGAGGCGGCATGCGAACACCACCGACTCCCGGTCGTCGGGGCCACCGAGGAAGATAGCGGCGATCTGGGTCCCTACCTTCTGGTCACCTTGGTTCCTCGCCGCCGTCGTCTCTTCGCTTGTTGATATCTTGGTTGGCAGCTGGAAGCTGGCGCCGCCCCTCCAGAACGGGCGGTCGGTGAAGATGCCGACGGTGCACAGGGCAAGCTCGAGCACCTTGCGGTTGAGCTCGCGGCAATGGTGCTCGCGGGCACCCCGTCGAACCCGGCGTGCTCCGGTAAGTTGTCGACGGAGGAGATGGCGACGAGCAGCAGCACCAGCCATCGGCTTTGTTGCCGGCGACAACCTCACCGTCCCGCTCCGTTTCGCCCTCCCCCCTCGCTGCCGCAGGTCGCAGTCGTAGTGGTGGTGGCCGCGGCACTCGACGCGCGTCACGGCATGACCTGCCCAAGAGGAGAGAAGAGATAGAGAGAGGGAGAGAGAGGAGGAAGGGAGGGATGACGTGGCATCCTGACATGTGGGGCCCACGTGGGTCCCACTCTGAGTCAGCCGCCACGTGGCACAAAACCGGAGTCAAAACCGCCGAGGGACCTATTGTGACCGGTTTTGTAAGTTGGGGGACACCAGATGTTCGGTTTTACGGTTGGGGGACGATTTTCTATCTGGCTAACAAGTTGAGGGACCTTGCGTGTACTTTTTCTGAATTTCTATCGTCGTTTCGTTGCATAGTGGGCCGAATTTTAGTCTCAGCTTCAAGAATTTTTTTCATTTTTAGATTTTTTTAAAAATATTTACAGAAATAATCTATCGGCCAAAAAAACAAAAATAGACCCTGCCGCCCACCACTTGGGCAGCAAGCTGACGTGGCAAACGGGGGAGGGACGAGCGGTGACGGAGGGAGGGTTTTTTGCAGGAAAAGGCGGCAAGGGGCCCCAATGCAAAAAAGCCAGCCGGGGCCGGCCATTTTGCAGGCGGCCCCTTGTCGCCCTCTGGTCGGGCGGCAGGCCTCACTGCCTATAAAAGGCCTGCCGCCTAGCCCCCGGCCCTCATTCCTCCCCCCACAAATCCAGTAAAAAAAAGAAGAAAGGGGAGGAGAAGAGAAGAAGGGGCGAAGCCCTGCCGGATTCACACGCCGATTTCAGGTAATATTCATAGATCCTATATGTGACTATTGAGTTAAATACTGTGTATTTTTTAAAACTTTGTTTGAATAAATGCATTATATTTTTAGGGTTTTAGTTGTACTAATCTAGAAGTGCGTATTGTAGATACCGATAACTACGTAGATCTGCTAGTTTGGAATCAGTATTTTACCGTTGAATTGGCATACACAAGAAGATATTACGTTGTAGGTGTTTATTGCATGAAAGAATAATATGATACTAGTTATTTTGTTGACAGATATGTCGAACAAACAAATATTCCAAGTTTACCATGGCCCAGGAAATGTCCGTTACGGGCCAACTGGGGTAGATCTGTCAGAATTTATTGTATCAGAAAGGGGAATTGACAGACCGGCTGAGAGGAGTGTACCTTCTATAAAAGGATAGTTAATGAGGGGCTTGAGAGTTGATCCACAGACAAGTGACATAACAATCAATGTTATAGTAAGTCGGGCAATTGAGGGTTTTTATTGGGAACTAATGCCAGTTCAAAACTCTCGAGTGTGGAGATGGTATGT